CTGGCGCAAGATCACTCATTTACATCGCAGGACCTTCTACCGGACCTACCGCTGAAACTGGCGTACTGTCGATGGCCCCTACTATCCTCGATGAACCTTCCTCTCAGAAAGCACGCCTGGGCTCACAGCAATACGACTATGTGTTTCCACATTCTCCCCTTGGCCAATCGCTATCGTCTGCTACTCACCCTTCCTCCTATAAATCATGCCTGGCCCCACATCGATACGATCCTCTAATTCCACAACTTCAATGTGACAGATCACCATCGTCTACCCCCCATGAACCACCGCGATGCCCACCTGGTCTAAAGCTTCCCGCAGATATGAATCCAGGAGTCCAAGCTGGGCACTTACGTGCACCATCTGTACAACTTACACAGCAGGGATCCCCCTCCGAATTACCACATGATGTTACCAAGCGGAACCTCGATAACGACGCATCACTACGACTTGCGCGAGGCAATACCGAGCTAAACCTCGGCGATATGTTCTCCACTCTTGAACCCAGTGCCTCGAATTTTCAGTCATCGTCGACACCTGAGGCAAAACAGGCCAGTGTTGTCGTTGAGAGGATTTCGAATGATGGGAATATTGCCTATTCCATTCAGGCAGGTGGTCATAAGTACTTCGCCACGGCACAGGTCGGCAGTGGAGGATTCGGTTATGTCTGGTACGCTATCAAAGACCAAACGGAGGAGGTCGCTATCAAGGTGATTGACAAGGCTGGGTTGCTTGCACAATCTGTGCACTGCGCCAAAGACAAACGCCCGACTATGCAACAACTACTCGAAGGCTCTGAGGCAGCAGCGGCAGCTATCAGTGCTGAATACGAGACATTCAAGCGCGTCACCGAAGAGCAATCCCCATTTTTGACTCCTTTGTTGCATGCCTTTGAGGACGAGGATAATTTTTACTTTGTGATGGTGCGTTTTCCTGATCATTATATCATTATCTGACTTTATGCTGAACGTGCCCCAGAGGTTCTATCCTCAGACTCTTCGCACTAGGGCAAAATTCGGATTCATGCATTGGCAGTTGCGTCTTGTTGCTGCTGAGCTTGTAAGTATCTCCTATGTTCAGCATGCAAGTTTGACCTAATGTGCTTCGCTACCCCTAAAGCTTCTCGCCCTCCAGCATCTTCACAAGCTGCGCGTCGTACATACGGACTTGAAGATGGAAAACGTGCTTGTAACTCCGTCCGGCCACGTATGCATTGCAGATTTTGGCAATGCCGAAGTCATGGACCGCAAACTGACCTATCAGCAATTTCACGACGAGCGCATGCACGGTATATCGGGTACCAAAGGTTACCTTCCTCCAGAGCGAGTCGAGGGAAGCCAGCGATATAACTTCAAGACGGATACCTGGACTTATGGTACCATTTTGCTGGAGCTTTTACTAATCAACGGCGGGGTGAGCTATCCTTTGTGGTTCTAGATCGCCCTGGCATTAAAGCTTACTCAACTCCCAAGCACTGGTACTCTATATATCATTTTAGTGACGGAACACATAAATTTGGCAATGACCACAAGATCCCCGAGGGTTACGGCCGACTGACCTTCATAAGACCGAACGATGAAATAGATCTCATCCAAGATAAGGACGCCAAGGATCTTCTTTGTTCTGTATGTCTCTAAGTCTTTGTGTCGTCGAGGTTGGCTTAACCCCTCATCAGATTTTCTTTCCCAAACACCATGCCATGAGACCCGAGTGGGAGTCAATTCGCAGCCACCCATTCTTCGCCTGTATTGACTGGCAGAAGTTAGAGAATCGAGGATACGATCGTAAGTTTACAATCAAACTCTACTGGCGTGCACTTGCTCATGTCCAACTAGCCATGTTCAAAGCTTGCTTGGGCAACACACCGCTCCAATCTGTCGACTCTGGCAAGATTGCCATTGAATGCTCTCACCCTCGGCTACCAGACTTCAAGAAAGCTGTGCACGAGCAAGCCAACGATAAATTCTCTCTTGGGCGAATGCACATGAACTACGAGTGCCCGAATGAATTGGCGCATGATGCTATGCATGGAGCAACTTGCAGGGCTCCAGGGACTCAGGTGCCCCGGAGGCATGTTTGTAAATGTGACTTGCCTGCCGATTGGGAGAAGGATCGATGAGGCATCTATGTCGCCTTGTAAATTTGTATATTCCAACTATTTATGATCGCTGTACCTGTAATATTTAGTATACATACTCACGACAACTCACGAACGTCAATCAATGTGTATTTGAATTGAATTGAACGCGTAGGGGTCGCTGACATAATTCATTTTCCGAAATTCCTCTTGCTAATTGGTCCAGTGAAACGTTCGAACCTTTTCTGTTCTCTTCTTCTTGCACAAAATGAACAGGTCTACTACAATAATGACCGTTGCAAGCGTCGCAGTCGGCGGCGTCCTCGCATACGCCGTGTACTTCGACTACAAGCGGAGAACCGACGCCAACTTCCGCAAACAACTGCGTAAGTTTTCACCAACAGAATGTTTTGTCACGCAGCTGACATAGGGTTTCAGGGAAAGAAAAAAAGCGTGTCAAGCAGAGCCAGAGCCAGACACCGTCTGAATCTGCTCAGACTGCAACCGAAGGAGTGGACGCAAATGACTTGCGGAGCGCGTTGGAGAGCGTACGCAACGAAGAAGTACCAGCTGGGCCAGAGGAAAAGGAACAGTATTTCATGAAGCAAGTTGGGATAGGTGAACAACTGTGTGCGAAAGGTACTTAGCAGTTTCGTTTTTGGAAGGATTTCTGCTTGATTGGTTTTCAAGGTCCTATCTACCACCTTTCTGCTGCGATGTGTTTCTACCGCGCGTTGCGTGTGTATCCATCACCCGTGGAGCTGGTTGTGATTTACGAGAAGACTGTTCCTCCACCTGTTTTCCAGGTACGTCTGTTTTATGATGACTATTGGTTGTGCTGACCTGGCCATCATAGCTTGTGATGGAACTTACTAATTTGGACGTGAGTAATGATCATTCACTGGCAGAGGGGAAAATTGGGCCACTGTCTGATGGGGAGGACGAATCGAGTCCCTCACGGGGCCCACCCTCGGAAACATCCTCACAAGAGTGGGTCAAGGTCACAGACTAGGGCAGTCAAACGCCTGCCCTGTGACTATGACTGCGAAACACGGATATGCTAGCCCTGTAGCCTGCACCCTAACCCCTAATCTGTCAAATTGCATATCTATCTCTTTCTTGGTTGTTTCAATGGTATCTGATTATGAATTTTGTTTTATGTTTTGGTCGTCACCGTTAGGTCAAAGACCGAGTTGAAGGTACGCTGCTTGGGTGCGTGTTTCTTATGCAGGACTAAAGATGGGATAGGATATTATACGTTCTTCCCGCCGAAGGCAATGAATGTCGCAGTTGAGACTATCAATGTCCCTGACGGCAAGGGCGCAACCATGTCGAAGAAAGTCCTTGTCGTGACAAAAGATTTCGAGGCTGGTGAAGTCATCTACCAGGTAAATCGCCTGTCCCATGTCTCCTGAATTCTTCCTGATCTCCTCCACAGGAAGATCCAATCGTGGCCGTTCTTGATGCCGATCTTCAAGGGAAAGGCACACACTGTAGCTATTGCTTGCGCCAGATCCAAAACGATCCCATCCGTCCAGAATCGGATCGCCTCCACAGTGTTTACTGCTCATCTGATTGCCAGACCCAGCACAACGCTCATTCGCAGACTCTGCTCTTCACGCTCGAGTCGCCTTTACCTGCCGCCATAGCGCCCGAAATGAAAGGCGCGCAACGTGAGGAGCGGGAAAATGCCCAAAAAGCGTTCGTCGAGTATCTCATACAGACCAAAAGGGCTGCACCAGAGCTTGTGGCACGATTCGTTGCGCGACAGGTCAGCGCGGAGACTGCTAAGATGTTACCCCGCGGAATATTGCCTGGCGTCGCTTCCGAGCCGGTGCTGACAGATGGCGGAGAATACTCGCTGTACGATCACCTCGAGCGTCTAAGATATCTCGAGGTGAATCCCGCAGATCACGAGACTCGCGTCTTGAAGGATGTGTTGCAGACTGCGCTCCCCGGACTTGAACAATTCCTTACGGAGGATCGACATGCAACCTTTATCGGGAAGATGTCGTATAACTCGTATGGGGTATACTTCGGTGAAGGAAGGGAGAATAAGGTGAACTTGTTTTGCGTTTTGAGAATGCTATGTTCTTACATCACGATGTAGCCTGATACAGCTGCTCGCCCTGAGAACGCCGAGAAAACACGCACCCCCTGCGGGACTTCTAAGCAGATCGGCACGGGTTTTTACGCAGTGTCATCCTATGTGAGTTCCTAGTTCTTCGATGCACCTTTTCTCATTACATCGACTCCCAGATCTCGCATAATTGCGCACCCTCCGCTAAGCCCGTCTTCCCAACTGGCACTGCACAGCTGCAACTTATGGCCACTCGCGCACTTCAAAAAGGCGATGAGATCACTATCGCGTATGTGGACGTATTGCAGCACTCTGAGGAGACACCCGAGGTAGCACGCCGGCGTCGTCGCATGGAGCTCGCGAGGGGATGGCGGTTTGCGTGCTCTTGCAAGCGGTGTGCTGAGGAAGGATTGGAAGGTGAGATTGAGGAAGGAGGGGATGAGAGCAGGGTGGAGGACGTTGTGACCAGGGTCGAGGGGTCATAAGTGGATATGGAGATTTTGGTGCGTAATGCGGCGACTCGGGGGCTGGTGGATCAGCAGATTCAAAATGGATTTATTGGCTCGTTAATGACTGCATGCATAGACCTTTTTCATTAGCATATTATTCCCTACTCTCCACCATCATGCGCCGTCGTCGGCGATATTGCTCTGTTCTGCATCTGATAGGGGAGTGTACCCATGAGTTTTGTGTGCATGAATTATTACTGGTACAGCATCTGATATTTCAATGGGTTACTAGAATACAGGTACATTCGAAATTGTTCTGCTCATCATAGATCCATCTATAAGCTCGGAAAACGATTATTATTGCTTGTTGTTTGACTTCTGCGAATAAGCCCTCTTTCGTTTGTATTACTTCCACGATGTCTACATTCATTATACATCGCTTCCGCTCCTCACTGTCACGACGCGTCTTACATACGACTGCAATTCGGCATGTCGACCGTCCAACGGTGTTCACAAACATGCTTGCAGGGGATATTCCACCCCCCGTGCAAGTTAATTCCATAACATCGGCAGGTATCCAGCTAGCAGACGGACTTATCCTTCCATCTGCATGCATCTTCCTGGACGGTAAGGTCTTTTTGTGGAACGTTCCCTCGCGTCTATGGGAGGGCTGGGATCGCGAGCATTTGAGTGTATTTGAGACTGCTGTCCCAAAACCAGGTGCGTTCTGAGACTTGCAATTTGCTGACCGGGCAGGACTGAACACGAAGTAGAAATATTGGTGTTTGGCACTGGGAGACGGATGGAGCTTCCACCTCCGAGTATAAGAGGTTACCTGAAAGAAATGGGAATACAACTTGACATTATGGATACAGTGAGGTGTCTACTACTTATACACTGCGAATGTAGTGTTAATCTCAATGATTCCTCGTACTTCCAGAGAAATGCGTGCTCGACGTATAACTTGCTCGCGGAAGAGGGCCGGCGGGTAGCTGCTGCATTGCTCCCATACACCCCGCACCCATGGCGGTCATAATACTGGCTGCAGTAATATGATCTGACTCTTGCCTCCCTATGCTCTTCGTAGTATATCCTTGCAATATAATATCCAGAACGTCGTGCGGCATAAGATGGCTATTCAGATAACGCCTTGCGTTTGCCTTTATTCACGGGAGGCTCTTCCTCTTCGTCATCGAGGAGAGAAGGCTGCGAGACTTCGACTGGCATCAAATTGCCTGGTGAAGACATCAAGATCAAGTATTAGCGGGACAATGAATGTCAGAGTTCGCATAGTACACTCACCTTCTTCATCTCTAAATTGAAAATATAGTACCTCCCAGTTTGTTAGGAGGCCTCTGACAGCCTTGTTTGACTCGAGGGCTTCATAAGTCACCCCTGACCTATTCTTCTCCTTCTCTTTTACCGCACGCGCCAGCTCAAAGTCGCTTGTGCTTTGAACATGAGGGAAGCTGTCATCCTCAGTTGCGACGCGAGATGTGAGCGCAGAAAGTGCCTCATCCTTAAGAAATGCAATCGTTGCGGTTTGGGGGACTGTTAGGAATATCGTGACTTGGTGTGTTTTGGCCAAAATTTGGTAGGCTTTTGGGGCTGTTCTTGGAGGCTGGCAACATCGTACGCATCAGCAGGTTATACTATGTTAACAGTTGTAACGCGGACTCACCATCTTCCTTGGCTGTGCAAGTACCGTGCAGAAGAGAGTAAGCTTCTGCAGACCTAAAACGGAAAAACTGAAAAACTCCGCGTGATCAAGAAAGGCAATCGTCCACATCAAGTCCACATTCCGAAGTTGACCGTTCTCAACGACAATGAGCGGCTTTCGCGACAGCGCCACAGGCAGTCAGCCCTACAAGGACCCAACACCACTCCCGGACTCTGTTCCGCGCACCCAGGAGCTCGGCGTAACCAGTGCCCCGCTGAAGTCCGCTGCATTTTTCATTGGCGCTTACTGCAAAGAGTATAATGGTGCGTTGGAATCAAATTACATGAGGAGTGATGTTGATGAGATGTGTATTGGTAGAGGATTTTATGCTTTGCAAAAACGAGGGCCGGGGAGACCCAGGACAATGTCTGAAGGAGGGCAGGCGTGTTACGCGCTGTGCAACCGACTTGTGTGTATCATTCACTGTTTGTTTATTCACTTCTGAGAAGGCCGTTAGGATTAACAAGATGCGGGAAAACTGCCTTGAGCAGTTTGACGCGCACTGGAACTGCCTGGAGTTGAACAATCAGGTGCGTAGAGTCTCACAGCTAGATTAGTGGCAATTCTTACATTTCCCCCTCATTTCTTAGGAATATTATGCATGTAGAAAACCCGAGCGCACCTTGAACAAGTGCATGTTTGAAAAGCTCGTACGTTTCTTGTTCATGTCACAATTGCTGCCTTTGTGTTGACGTCCGGTTACTCGTCAGGGTCTGACCAAGACGATACCTGGCACTCCAGTAGGGAAGAAGCAGATACATGAGGTAGAGAAACCGATATATACCACAGTGCAGCGGTGAGGGCTCTTCCGGCATTTATTAGACTACCTGCGGAGCCCTGGGTTGATTGTCCGTGCTGTTATGGATCAACGGTGCTTCCTTTCCTCGGAATTTTTGCGCAAGAAGCTTTTGAGAGACAATCCTCAGTAAAATCATGAAAGTGCCAGCTCGTGACCACCTGTTGTAAATATACGAGTTTGATTATTGAGAGATGTAAAATGAGCGCCCCTTGCACGCGTCCGAATACGAATATTAATGATCTCCTTCTCGTTCCGCTATGTCCCTTCAGCGGCGCGCAGACTTTACACAACCGCATCAGGCGCAAGCTCGGTCATAACACCCACACATTCTATATACCTCAGCACGTCAACCAATCCATATTTCAATCTCTCGTTTGAAGACTGGTGGGCTGTTCACTACTTGGTACATGCTAATCTGACGGTTCACTTGCGCTCGAACTGGGAATCTGATGATGATGAATGATGCTGGCTTGACCCTTACATGGATGCATATCCAGGTTGTTCAGACATGCGCCTCAGAAGGAGCCATTACTCCTGCTGTATAGAGATGCACCGTGTGTCGTCATAGGACGCAACCAAAACCCATGGAAGGAGGTCAATCTCCGTGCAGCCCGTGCGCAGGGCATTCCGTGGATACGTAGGCGCAGCGGCGGCGGGACAGTGTACCATGTATGTCTCCATTACCATACAGTCTATCCTGGCCATAATAAAAACTGCGCGCTAACTTACTCTAACACGCCGCAGGACCTTGGTAACACGAACTTCTCCATCCACGTCCCACGCACGACTTTTGACCGCGGCGCTACTGCGCAGGTCATTCTCCGGGCCGTGCGCGCGCTCGGCATCGATGCAGATGTGAATGAGCGGAATGATATTTGTGTGGGAGGTGAGAAGGCGTCGGGCTCGGCGTACAAAATCGTGAGCGGGCGTGCGTACCACCACGGGACGATGCTGATTACCACGAGACTTGAGACGCTGGGAGATTTGTTGAGGGTGGATAAGGTTCGTTTTTTATGTTCTAACGATATTGAGCTTTCTTTGTTTCGGTGCAAGGAGCTTTTTTGCTGATTGATATGTTGGCGTGCAATAGGACACAATGATTACGAAGGGTGTCGCGTCTGTGCGTTCGCCGGTGTGCAACCTCGCTCAATTCAGTAAAAAAGTTAGCCACGAGATGTTCGTGAATGCTGTCGTGGACTCGTTCAAAGCCGAATATGGCGTTCACGACGAGGTAACATTTTCTTATCTAAACACGTCTTACGCCAGCTAAAGAGAAATGTTAGCCATGCATCGTCAACGATACTGACGACCTCGCGAGAATAGGATATATCCAACGCGGGATGGCAGAGCTACCTGTAAGCTCCCTTTCACTATCTGCATGCGGTTATATGACCCTTCTTGCAGAGCTGGGACTGGGCTTTTGGCCAAACTCCCGAATTCGAGTACACGATCAAGAAGCCGTTCGTGTGGGGCGATGTTGTAAGTTCGTTCCGTTTTGTTGCTGCATTATCTAAACTCTGTACCAACAGACAGCACACATCCACGCTCGACACGGGGTGATTCTCTCCTGCACGCTGCAAGGGTTGGACTCTGAGCTTGGAAAGGCTCTCGAGGGCAAACGATATGGGTTTATTGAAGATGAAGAGCTGGGTGTAGATCTGAGTGGAAGGCGAGAGGTTGTGTGGGCGTGGCTGAACGAGGAGATGAAATCTTATGATTGATACCTTGTTTTCAGTTAGATGTGTACAAACGACAGTGCTGTGGACACGGATATAACGCGAACTCGCGAGCGTAGAAATCTTCGATCCTGGTAAATATGCTTCAGGTGCTTTTAGACTTTGTTCTAGCGCAAGAATATTTGTTCCTTTCGCAGGAAATCTTCCAATGACAGATCTCTGCCCAGTGCCCACAAACGTTGGTGTAGTATCCATCTAAAGAACAATTTCATTCAAGGTAGCATGGTATGTGGTATCGTTATGATGTAGCTTCCGTGTACCAAGCGCTACTCGTCTCGAAACCTTCTGGAGGTACGGGGTTTGACTAGAAACGTACATGATATTTATTCGAGCATGGACAAGTGTAAAGACAGCACATACAGATTGTCCACGTGTGTGTCCTGTTAACCGTCTATCACGGTCCATCATCATCTCGTCCCAAGAATCGACGTGGTATCGAACAGGCTAGGGAGTTGCCAATGTGTCCGGGCGAAATGAGTTATGCGAATGAAAGAACACGGTGGAACAGTCAGATACTGGTGACATTTAGAACTTTACAAAACAAATTCTGGACATACCTTGCCTTGATTCTGAGCCCTTTTAGAAACATTCAAGAGCGTTCCGGCTGCTGCAAACATTGAAGTGAGCAGGCCTGTAGTGGTATTAAGAATATGAGATTATCAAGTCAGCAAATTATCCCTTTGGATTTTGTGGCAGCATACCAAATGGAATGAGAGCTTCCCATGGGACAGGCATGGTGGAATGTGCTTCAGTGATCAGAAGTGTTGTGTATATGGGTTGGTGTTCTGTAGAAGGTCGGCGTTTCCGATTTATTTGGTCTCATTTGTTCCTGAGCTGTGAGAATAGTACAAGCGACGTATTATCCGTTCCCTCAATTCCTTTCTCCCCAGTTACATATATATTCGTCACTTGATAATTATTCATACTTATTGCCGGATAGTTTGCGAGCTTTGATTTGATGCCTGACTTCTTTAGTTCATAGTTGAGCCACCGAGGTCCTAGTTACCTGAGCGAAATTTCATGCAGTATTGATTCGGGTTAACGTTGACTTCCTAATCTGGCACAGACATAACAAAGTCACCAACTGCCGAAGCCCGCTCCGGACTTTTGGCCCCACAGTCGGCCATTTCCAGGATGTTCTCGTCTTTCCGAGATCGACCAGCCTGGTTTCGTCACTCGGCTTGTCCATGGTGTATAAGCCAGGCTGGCCACGAGCCTAGGCTTTAATTTCAGACCTCGTGTCCTGGGCATCTAATGATACACGAAGCAGACTGTGAAGAAATACAAAAAGTCCCGGTACATGCACTTCTGAAACTTAGATCAAGACACCCTAGACCACAAGCTCTCCAGCAAGTCGTGCTCAACCTCGAGCAAAATGACGGAAGCGGAATACCCCGCCATTCGCATCACCACGACTAGTCAAACATTCAAAGGTCATGAAGATACTCTCTTTGCAGTTGCAGTCTTCCCCGATAGACGCCGTATGGTGACCGCGTCGTACGACAAGACGCTTTGTTTGTGGGACTTAGATGATGGTGTTGTATTGAAGATAATGGAGGGACATCGCTTCGGCATACGAGCTGTTGCAGTATCAAGAGATGGGAAATGGATTGCAAGCGGTGATTTTGGCGGAGAGCTCATCGCATGGAACAAAGACGGCGAATCTCTCACCCAGCCTATCAGAGTCCACTCCAAACAGATATGGTCGCTTGATTTTTCCCCAGACAGCACATTGCTGGCGAGCGGCTCAGTGGACACCACAGCGGAGCTCTGGAACACACAAACATGGCAAGTGCAAGGATATCCAATCAATTGTGGGCCTGGTGCCGAAATCCGCTGTATTCGGTATTCACCGTCTGGTGAATATCTTGCCATCGCAACCACGATAAATATCCAGATATGGAATCCAGGCAAGAGGGAATGCATCAAAAAGTTCCAGGATCACTCTGCACTCAATGGAGCATATAATATGTCGCTCGCGTGGACGCCCGATGGCAAACAGCTTGTCTCAGCTGGTGATGAATGTGATCCCACCATACGCATTTGGGATCCATCGACCTGGATGCAGGTCGGTGAACGCTGGAAGGGTCATACTGACTTTGTCTTCATGATTGCCTTGAACCCTGCTGGCACCCTCCTCGCGTCTGCATCTGGAGACCAACAGGTTCGCCTTTGGCGACTTTCGGATCGACGAACCATCGCCATATTCAAGCACCCCAATCAGGTGTTTTGTGTCAACTTCTCCGCGGATGGCAAACACGTTCTCAGCGGAGGTAGAGATGATATAATCTCAAAGTGGGCAGTACCTTTACTGGGCGATGTTCCCGAGGACCAATTATCAAATGTAAGATTTTGTTCATTCTCCTTCTGTTCTTCATTTCATTTTCTCCAAGGATGCATTACGAGAAGACACTTTGAAGGAACATGCGGCAAATCTTGTGAGTTCCTGGTCCTTTATAGTCGGTTCGTCTTTTTGCATATTGATCCTCAATCTTAATGTCAAGGCTCAACAGTCTGATTGCGAGGCTTGTTTCCAGCCTTCATTCTTACTACGCGATCTGACCATGTGTAATGCAGATCCTGGTCATCAACACGACAGCCCGCGATGCATGCATATCCGGGGACTTGCCTACTGCTGCCAGGCTGCTCACCCAGGATATCAACGCCGATAGGAACAACTACAACTCTTACGCGAACCGCTCGTTTGTTATGGCAAGAAAAGCCGACTGGGACCGCGCACTTGATGATGCACTAAAAGTGAGACAGCCTTCTTATCGTGACCTCTTTAAAATAGGCTAAATTATATGGTGATATAGAGCATCAGTATTCAGTCATCCTTGATGGGCTGTATCTCCAAGGGCATCGCCCACTGTGGAAAACGACAGTTCCAAGATGCGATGAAAGCATTTGATCTTGCGTTCATGTACGTAGACGTAGACTTAAATAAAACTCGTCTTCTACTCTGAATTAAGGTACGTCAATAGTGTTTCATGTACTCGCTACTTACGCGACAGTTGTCAGGCCATCGCCCTTTTCAATGCAGATCAACATGATGAGGCAATTCTGCGCGTCCAAGAGCTAGCTACCACCCGTCCCAATGCGAATTTTCTTGCCTGTGGTATTGTGGAAGTGAGCGCTCCTGACACAGTCAACTCGAGATTCATGCGTCGGTACTGATTTTGTGAGCCTGCTTCAGGCTTATCTACACGTCCAAGTGGGAATGAATGCATTAAACGACGCACATCACAACGAAGCGACTGGTCATTTCACTGCTGCTGTCAACATTATCGGTATCCCGTCTATGTCTGACATCCATTCTACGTATGATGTCTTCGCGGTGGTAGGTTGATTACAATGCAACTGGACATTTTTTTATGCCCAGCTGCTTTTTTAGTTATTCGGATGGGACCTAAAGTCCTTGTGGCGAACTGTACACCAGAATTGGTGCCATGCGTTCCTTCGAGCAGGTAGACTTCCAGAAGCCATCAAAGCATACCGATACATGATGGATAGGGCTGATGAGGCTACGAAAGCTTGCTGCCTTGATTGGTCCACTGGCAAGTCTTTGTAATATCAAACGGGTATCATTCTCAACCCCGCTTTACTTAGCTTTCAAACAAGATTGCAGCGTTCTCTATACGACTGCCGGTGTGACTGACCTCGCTGCAAGCGGAGATGATGCCCTCGCTGTGGGTCATTACGACAGGGCTATCGAGCTTTACTCTGCGGCAATCGACCTCGATTTTGCAACCAATACCGTCTTTGCGAACCGTAGCAAGGCGAGGTCGGGAAAAATGCTTTGGGACGTGGCACTCCTCGACGCGGAAAAGGTGTGATGACATTTACCATTTCGTAATCGGCGCTCATTTTGGTGATATGCAGGTCATCGAACTCAACCCCTCATCTTACTTTGGATATCAGTTGAAGCATGCAGTACTTCATGACGCACACCGATACGATGAAGCTATCGATACGTTCAAAACCATGGTCTCCAAGTTCGAAAGTGCTCCCAACACAGAAACAACAAGTACGCCCCAAATAGCACGTTCTTCAAACATTGTTAACTCTTTGTCCAGACGTCCGCCAACAGTATGTCAGTCCGTCCGAAGCAGAAGGTGCTATTCAGGAAACTATCAAAGGCCAACTCGACGACGCTCCGCATCGTCTGCTCAACACCTCCACTGGGCGCTTGTGCAATCGCGAGGTACAGATCAAGGCCTTCAAAATGAGCACGGAGTACAAAGAACTTTTGTCGTCCACATTGAAGCATGCAGACCTTCAAATGGAGCGCATCCAAGACGCGGTGGCAATGTACTTCCGTTATGCCATGCTATCACATAGGTGGGAAGGAACGGAGCCGTCGCTGCATGACATCCAGGGCAAAGTGGTATATGAGTTGGATCCAGTTGGTGGCATCGCGAAGTTGCAGTCATTCTGTGAAACTACTCGTGGCAAAGGGTATCGCTGGGCATGGATCGATACGTGTTGCATCGACCAGACTAACAACGTCGAGCTCCAACAATCGGTCAATTCCATGTTTATCTGGTATCGTCACTCAGCGCTTACCATCATCTACCTGTCGGATGTTCCACCTTCGTCGCAGCCTGGCGCACTCGCCAGTAGTGCTTGGAACACGCGAGGATGGACAGTTCAAGAATTTCTGGCCCCAAGATTTGTCCTCTTTTATCAGAAGGATTGGTCCCTTTATCTCGACGATCGCTCTCCCAATCACAAAGATTCCCTTGCAATCATGCAGGAGATGGGAAATGCGACAGGCATAAATGCACAAGCCCTCGTTGCATTCAGTCCAGGGATGAGAGACGCCCGGGAGAAACTCCAATGGGTGTCGGCGCGTGTCACCACGTGGCAGGAAGATATTGCATACTCATTGTTTGGTATCTTCGGCGTCAACCTGCCTGTCATTTATGGGGAGAAGAAGCAAAGGGCGCTTGGGAGGCTCTTGCAGGAGATCGTAGCCCAGTCGGGTGACATCAGTGCCCTGGACTGGGTGGGGCAATCATCCGAATTCAATAGCTGTCTGCCGGCCGATATTACCTCGTATAAAGCTCCACCATACACCCCGCCATCTCTGTCCGAACATGACATTCAACTGTCGATTCCCTCGCTCCGACATGCTATGGCTGTGGATTTGGCATTGGAAATTTATGCCCAGCTTGACAAGCTGAGCGCGCCTCGTTTCGCGAACTGCAGACTGCATCTGCCTTGCATCGCATTTCGTGTCATAGCAGTCAAACAGAGTCGCGCTGAAGACCAAGAGACATATGAAATCAAGGCCGAAGGGCTTCATGACCTGCTGATCACCACAAAGGACAAGCTGAATCAGCCCTCATCAACACGACGCACTATGCAGTCATTCTTACTTGTTCGTCCGTGGAATCGTGATCTCCTCGAGCTTCCTGACCTCGCAGAGCCGTCTGGCTTGGCAGAGCTGCCAGACGTTGCTGATGATACGCAGAGCGAAGAAGTTTATTGGTCTGCACCCGGGTCCCCATTACAGAATTCTCCCGGGGGGTTCCCTGAAGCACAGGAGTCGGTTGATTTGGAACTGAGCGATCGAGCTTTGCGATTGATTGTTCATCTTGAACAGCCTTTTGGCGCATTTTTGCTAGCGCATCAGCGTGGCGGAGAATACAAGAGAGTCGCGTCGGATCATGATATTATTGCACAAGTCAAAGACCTTTCTTCTATTCCGGACATGGTCAAAACGCTAGAGATATTGTAGGGGTGTCGTTTATAAGAATGTGAATCTGACATATGAGACGAGTAATACGATGTCCTCGAAGCTTACGAGCAAAAGCTGTTGGCTGTTGCACGTTTGGTAATCGTACGTCCGTTTCTTGCATCGGCCCATCTGCCACCAGCGTCTTATCACCTCGAACCATGTGCTACGTACTATACAGTTTCACCTTCGACACTCAGCCACAGATTCGCCATGTTCGTATATCAGTTGCGTCGTTCGCTCGTCTCATCTCAGCGCTCAGCGTTGTCCCACATCTCTAGCTCCGATCACCAGCCATCCTGTGGCTAACGCCACCCATTGCTCTCCTAAGTTTTCTCCTTTTCGTCTACCATCATGGCCTCTGCGTGCTCTTTTCACGGCGTAACCAGAGTTCGCTGCTTTTATCCTGAAGACGCCTCACCTACTGGATCCCACAACTTGCCTCCAGCAAGCGTTCCTATCTCCCAACATTATATTTGTAGCCAAATTCAATGATATTATGCCAGACGCCCTGCCTGGAGATTTCGGTGAGCACAAGGAAGAACTAATCACCGGAAAGACTGATGACAGAACGGAACAGAATCATACTTCACTTCCGACTATCTCAAAGAAGCAGACCAAGCACCTCCAGATGCATCAGAACAAATGGCCGAAGATGAATCGACGATGAATATTGGTGCATCACTGCTTTTCATTGTAGATTAATCGCGGTCCAGGTCCCTCGGACTGGAGAGATCCATTGCCTGCCTCGCATCACCTTCTCTTTCAAACCTGCACGGTGCAGCTGGACCGTCAATCGCAAACAGCTTCCTCTCAGACCTGCATACGCGACTACGTTCAACGGATGTCGAAGGCTCACATGGCAGAAAGGCGTACTGACAACTATACACTGCACTTTTGAGAGTGCGATGTCGCTGAGACATTCGGGCACTGTTTCCAATAGAGAATGAGGAGTAAAAGACGACGGCGAACCAGCATACAAGCATCTATTACTGTAATTGACGATAGGAAACGTCCGAAGGTGATCGGAACGCTTGTATTCAATATTCAGCTGCTGCCTGAGCGCTGAAGCTAGGCGCCAAATTGATGTTCCAACGTTCCGATATAGCTATCGGTACCATGTACCCTGTACCCGTGGAAGAGATTGGATGACCTCCCATTATTATGGTGGGGATATCATGGCGATTCGAATTCCTAGAGGCGAGTTGCTACTTTCCAATCAAATAAATTTAAATTCCTTTTTGCTCATTCATCAATCAGTCATGGTTCAATGGCTGCGTTGCACGCACCATGATCACTTCAAGTTGGCTTTCAACTTGAAAGCTGCCAAATTGTCAGCATTACGGAGCATACTCAGTTTCAGCGCGTCTTAGCCCACCCCATTAACCGTCGGACACATGGTGGTAGATAACAAGGCTCCGTCTCAGCCTGTACTGGATAAATGAAACTCGAGTAGGGGTGGGCGTCCGACGAAGTGGAATCCCCCACGAGCAAATAATCGTCAGTATGATTTTCGTTGATGCAGGATGGTTTCACCATTATTCGAGATATTGACAGCCTCCAAAGTCTATCACCATTCTGCCCGTTACAAGTAGTGTGTGGCCATGGTACTTACTCCGCTTGTCACGGGCAGAATGGATCACGATACATTTAGACAGTTCGCAAAGAAGGTTTGCTGGTCCTCAAAAATCTTTTTATGTACGAGCTTTATTACGTCGAGACACTCCGCCCGCAGCACGATAAAGACAAGACACAAATTTTCATTCCGTTCCGTAGTCTCTGCAAAAGGGGTAAGCATCTTTATGGTGGCAAACCTTAACTCAGAACTTATAAATCCTTTAGATATATTATATCCCCTTCCCGTTCAGGGCGATATAATGCCCAGGTCTTTAACTAGATGAGGACGACATGGATGTACTTGATGCACTCGATTAAGGGGAGGGAAATTTGATAACGTTAGTGGCCACCGTGACTGGAAGGACTCCGGGCCCTGTCGACGAAAAAATGCATTGTCAATGCAAAACTGTGCTGATTTTTCCATGGGTCGTGAATCATTCCGATTTCACCGGTTCACCGACTGACACGTGCACGTACTCACACCGTCGGCTGAAGACTTCCAGGACTAAACCCTTGTGAGCGTGTTGGCTGACCGAGGAACAAGACCGAGCCGATGTGCTCATCATTTGTGTATACCAATTGGGGATGTAGTCTAGCCGAATGGTTGTATGAATTGGACCACAAAGTTATGTAAATAATTGACCCATATCTTGAGCAACATCGCACGAGGCAAAGCAAAAGTGGTGTCGGGAAGTTCGCCAACGCCGTCACGACGCGGTAGCGAGGAGCCGTGTCGCATGAAATGGAGTGTTCAACTGTCCAGTCAATGCCAGGTCGATCGAATTTTTATTCAGGATGAGTCTCAGTACAGATTGACGCGCCCCTATCCTTCCAAAGGAAAGACCTTTTTTAAGAACAACCTTAGGTCCTCCATCTCAGATTCAGCCAACAGTGTCGCTACGCCGTACGACATGAAGCTCACACCCGGCTCTCCCACCTTCGTATAATGTCCATATCTCACTTCCAGTCTATCTCCTATGAAATTGGCTGACTCCCAGCTCAGATCCCAGGTCACAGATTCATTCTGCACCCCATGACCCCAGAACACGGGTATCGTACATGCGTGCATCGACAACCGCTGAAAACACATCTAAGACACAGCTTTTCGCCACACTTGAAAGTTTCCTCTCACCTTTTTGAATTTGTCTCGCATGGGGAGCCAACCACCTAGACATATGACTCCTCCCAACTTCCAACCATCTTGCGTGTCAGAACCACCCCTCCACTGACTGCCACCCAAACCTGCGATCAGGGATATCGCTCCCCCTTGGCCAAATCCCCCAAGCACGATACGTCCTTGTGAAATTCCTGAATCGATCTCAGACTGGATAAAGGCATCTAAATGCTTGACGCTTTGCATGATTCCCTCATCATACTCCTGGATGTCATCGTCTTCCGACAAATATATCAAAGGATCATGTAAGACGTCAAGCCAGCCCCTAGTTGAACTTCGCCTCCCTGTGGCTCCTTTCCATGCGGTAATGGAGCGCTCAGGCGCATTCGGAAACACCCACTTGATGTGTGGAAGCTGGGATGCGATCGTGCGCATCTCCTTGTTGTTTGAGAACTCCAGACCACTATCTCCCAGTCCCTATGAGCAAGTCAAAGATGAATATGTCCCTCTCGCGATCACCACAGCACGTACATGAGCAAATATGACCGTGGCGGTGTGCTTCGTCTTTGGGGTTATGGTCGCAAAAGTTAGTGGTAAAGACATTATTCTGGAGGAGCAAAGAACGCTGCAAAGAGGGCCACGTGTAGGAAACTTAAGCCCCACTCTGTCTCACTCATTCTCACTGTCAGGATGTGGCGGGCTGCAACATCAAGAAGCGTGGGATTATAGATATTCGCACACGAATATCGGGTACAATAGCCAGCAATTCTGAAATGTCAAAGGTCTCAATGTACCGACGGAATGCAGTACCGAACACACGTGTGGAACCAGATTTATGGTCCTAGACAATTGATTGGCTTTACAGGTTCTAAGCTGTTCTAAGTTTGCTACATACTGTCAGTATGTATTTAATCGAGGAGGGTCACTTAACCATACCTGCTGTGGTACGACACTTCCCAAGAATGTCACCAAGTCATCCATCTCTTTCTTGCATGAAGTGTGGCCCATACGTTCATAAGACCGAAAGTTAATCCCAGGAGCACCAAGTTGGTCATGGGCACCGTGCTTCACGATTCCAAGTTGATCTTGAAGTAATCCAACTGAAATCTCCCCCACTTTGTGATATATCACCGCATCTGCTGTTCCGTGTCCCCATAATACCGGCATAGACTTGGCATGCGACGAAATGCGCTGTATGAACGTTCAGTATCATCATAGCCCATGGGAGAAGAATTTATGATGGTGCATTATTAGTACTGACCGACTTGAACTTCTCTCTGACTGGCATCCAACCGCTCAGCACGACTACACCAGCCAGCTTGCTTTCATCCCCGGAACTCTTCGTTCTCCAGTCTTTACCACCCAAACCCGCCGCCAAAGCCAGAGCTCCTCCTTGACTGAATCCGCCCACTACGATGCGACTTTCTGGTATTCCAGCCTTAACTTCTGCTTGAACCAAGTCATCTATGATCTGAACACCATTCTTCACGCTCTCGTCATCATCAACCACTTTGCTCAAGTACAGCTCCGGTGGAAGCGGTAGATTAGACATATCAAACCATGAAGGCATCTCAGTGCCAAAATTCGCCGTGACGGCTTGCTCGGGTGCATCTGGAAAGATCCATTTGACATGAGGAAGACGAGCGGGGATTGTCAGTTCGCCGGGCTTTCTGTAGTCGTAATCACCGCTTATCACTGCGCGCCAACTTTGTCCTTCGTCGCCGAGACCCTACACGGTGAGACTAAATCAGCGTATGCTTCTAGCACGATCAAGAGTTGGCCATTATGAACACACATGGGCAAAGATGACGGTTGCGGTGTGCGCTGCGGTCGGCTGGATGATGGCTGACGGCATCTGATATGTACTATGTCTGTGTGGATAGGTAGAGAAAGTGCGCGCTGCCAGCGATATGATAGATTGCAATGCACGTGAACTAGGCATGGCTAATAGCATCATATGCCGGCTGCAGTTTCCGGCCTCGTTCCTCGGCTAACCGACATGCTTCCCGTGCACCAATGATAACTTATGCAGTCACAGTAGTAGACGGTGATCTTAGTCTCCCGTAGACCAATAGAAAGAAGGCAGTCGTACGTTCCTTCTACCGAGACAAAATGGTCACCGTGAACACAAGTGACGCTATCAATAGGGTTATAACGTTAATGTAATCATGGGACATCCAAGCAAGGTGAGCGTTAACGCCGGCGACAGCGCCTTGTTGTTTAAGCGAAGTTGAACATAGTATATGATAATAATATCTTCAAGTGGAGTTCGCTTCGAATAATATTGATTGCAGGTTCAAGTCATGTCCCCTAGCGGTCTACAGCCTGAAGGAAGACAGTTGTTACCCCTATTCATGGCTATGCCAGGTCTGAACTTACCTGAAGTACGTAGTATGCGCAAGATACATGAACGCAAACGCGAATTTATCGTGCACAATATGCCTGGATATTTTTAATCACACGATAGTCACACTTGGATTCGGAAGGATGGGTAGGAAAAAAAAATTAACCAAGGACTTTCGCTAGAAGCAAGCGGTTCATCCGTTCGTGATGGAAAATGCATCCCAACCTGTTGGCTCCGCGGCAACTGTGCTGAATCATGTCACTTGCACTGCGCGCCTGATAGGAGTGCAGGTGGAGAAATTATTAATATGCCACGGATAGCACTGGTTGGGGTCAAGAGCCGGAAACCCCGCCATCCTGGTCATCTTCTTCCCCATCCCCGTTCTCGTTCGAAGCCACCAGCTCTGCTTCGTCGGCATCCTCCTGGTCTTCCTGATCTTCACCTTCTCCAACATGCTCTCCTTCAGGGGGTGCATTTGGATTGGTCAGTTTGTTTTGGAACTTTCTCTGCGGAATGATGCTCCAAAACGCCTGCTCCCAGTCTCGTGTTTCAACCCACTTCAGTAAGATTTCGAATACCTATAGGTAAACCGGACAGCCTTCGCTATCAGAAAAACAAACGACGTAACGAATAGATGTCACCTGGTTGACCGTGAGCACCTTCCTCGTCGTTAACGATGCTATATATCGGCCTATAGGAAGGCGTGCGTGTCGAATGGATGACGTTTTAGCTTTGTCAAGGCAGAGATTCTGATATATTTTGTTAGATCAGGGTGGAGGAATTACGGGAGATCTGGGGAGCAGATCGGGGAAGGCGAACATGGGGTCGCTGAAGAATAATACCGGCTCCATTTTCTGGTTTTTGCGAAGGAATACCGAACAGGGTATGAGGTTTTTTCAAAGTACATACCTTGTATCGGTTGTGATCGCAAATACCTCCGATAACGTATATTTCGCCCTCCTTAAGTTCTATCAGCTCTTCCTCGGAGTCAGCGGTCAGGTAAACCACACTCGCGCGATGTGCATCCATGTCTTCATCTCCGCCGCAAGAATCAGATTTGGATGTCCATATTCGATCGTAACCTTCCTCCCACCATTTTGTATTCGTCCATCGCTTGTATCCAGCATCGTTTATGGCATCTAGCCGCGCCTTTGTCCGCCCATTGAGGGATGTAAACAATAGTGATGTAAACGGGGTAGATGATCGTCGATTCGCGCTGTATGTATATGCCAGTTGGGAAGTCAAAGAGGTCACTTCCTGCAGGTATGCTCGTGTCAGTTTTAGGTAATGCCGATGGTATTCGTACGCACCTTGTCCGTCATCATATCATCGAAACCCAGGTCTATCACCACTTGCGCAGCAAATGAAGTCTGATCAAATCCACCCATTTTACGACGCTTCCGTGGCTCCGCATCGCCTGCTTCTGCACGCTCTCGTCGCTTGCGTTTTTTCGCCTCCTTCTCGCGCGCACGACGTTCAGCCTTTTGCTCTTGTAAGCGAGCTGCTTTTGCGGCTCTCTTTTGGGCTTTCTTTGAAAGGGGTTGTGAGGTAATAGAGATTTCTTCGGCCTGGGCAATCACTGGTTGTTCCATGATGATCACTGTCCGAGCTTCGGTCGCAGTCTAGGGATCTCGGTGGTATTATTTGCACCAATGGTTAAGGTTGAATTGCCACCGCGGCCGGGGACCGCCGGCACTTACGGGATTAGTGTAGATAAGAGATCGATCGTACTGAGTGTAGAAGACGGGTCAAATATAACGATCAAAGTAGCTATTTGGAGGCTTATACATACTTAGGGAGCCATTCCTCTCCTCCGGTGCTAAAATTCTTTACAAGTGCCATTTCTAGTTCACTTTACTCATCTCTCACCTCCTCAATACACGAGGGAGACACCCAGCGATGTCAGTAGTCACGCTGCCCTTCCTAGTGGTACAGCCAACCAAAGCACATACCGCAACTGTAATTTGTGTACATGTAGGTGCACTCTCTCACCCCGCATGTCCTTCATCCATTTGCAACGGCGTCGGACGCCCAGTACCTTACTTCTTCTGTCACTCGCCTGTTTTGTCGTTCGTGCTGATCACATGCACTAGGGCATCGGTGATGATGGCAGAGGATGGATTCCCCTCACAAACGAGCTCGCGTCTGCCCTCCCACACGTCAAGTGGGTTCTCCCCCACGCACCTCAGCGACCCGTAACAGTGTATAATAAAGAATGGCTTCGTGCCTGGTTCGATATACCATCTTTTTCCTTCACCGAGACCGAGGATGCACCGGGCATGTTGGACTCGGTACGCAAGCTAGACGCGCTTGTCAAGGCCGAGGTCGACGCTGGCATTCCACAAGAGCGTATTGTCCTCAATGGCTTTTCGCAAGGTGGTGCAATGGTACTCCTTTCTGGTCTCGGAGGGCGTGCGGTACGCGAGGGAGGTGAGGGCTGGAAACTTGCAGGAGTCGTAGTGATGAGTGGATGGCTGCCATTACGAGACCGTTTCAAGTCACTTATCTCCCCGCACGCGCTAACAATGCCGGTTTTTTGGGGTCATGGAACAGACGATCCACTTGTGAGATATAGCTTCGGGCGAAAGTCGGCGGAGATCTTGAAGGACCAGGTCGGTTTAGCGCTAAGGTGGGGCGATAAAGGAGAAGCGGAACGCGCGGCCTTTGGGAGCGCTGGTGTGAGTTTTTTGGGGTATGATGGTGTACTGCACGCAGCATGTTCTAAGGAGCGTGCTGACCTGAAGGAGTTTTTAAAAAGAGTAATCCCTGACAATCATACGGGATGATGAGATAGGGGTTATTAGGCCGAGATGGTGCTACCATTTATTTTTCTTGTTCTTCTTCGTAGGTCGCATACCACGTTACAGTTGGGATTGTAGGATTTTAGTAATTCTTAGGAAGTGAAAGACAAATTCGATAGTCGAGATCTGATGTTGAGTTCATGAAATAGGTTAGCAATAGTTCGAAGCTAGAATGAGATTCTAGTCTACAACGATAGCGCGAGAAACTAGAGCACATCTTTGAGATTCGTCTGGGCTGATCCACGTTCGAGGGGCTTGGGTTGATTCAGCGAAGGTTTCCAGCCAATCTGAAATAGGATGAGGTAAAAACCTATCAAAAGGGGATTTGGATATACCATGTAGATAATCTGGAATGTCGCTGGAACGGAGCCGTCTTCATTTCCGTGCAGTTCTATTTAAAAGAATTAAATTTTATAGATTATACGCTGTGCTGTAACAGACCTTTATAAATAGCTGAGGCAGCAGCCAACGTATCCCTGTGCAAGAAGTGTCGCCTACAAAGTCACAATAGGAAACAAAGATACGTGCATCGAATTGGCTCACCGTCCAACAATAGCGTTACTCTCACCCATGTCGCGCAGATCTTCGAGAAGCTCCCACATGCTTGGGTACCCAACACGTACTTCATCGATATCTACAGTGAGTAGAGTGAATCCCGCACGAGAGAGAAGGTTTGAGATGTCTTTAGTGTCTATACAAAAAGCAAAGTAGAGCCGATGAAACAGTAATAGTGCGATAGTGCATAAATCAGTTACCTGTCATGGGCGAAATATGTGGCGAGATGCCGCCCTCGCGGTCTACTTCCGCAAGCTGAAGGGCAGTCCTGTGAATAGAATGTCTTTCAACGACATAGACGACCGTCCCAATCTCTTACCGAAGCTCAAACAAGGTATCCCCGCCAAACATGGCGCCTAAAAAGAGCCCATCAGGTTTCAGGGCTTCCTTTATTTGTACAAGCACGCCTGGTAGGTCGTTCACCCAGTGGAGGCTGAGGCAAGATACAATGGCCTCTTGAGAGTTGCGAGGAAGAACATCAAGAAGATTCTCTTCATCTGCATGTACACGCTCTACTTCAACTGTGGATCACTCGTATTATTGTCAGGGCGCTACCCAGTGAAATAACATGACGTACCTTCGAATTCTTCGTCCCGATCTCGGTTAAGCGTGGTCTCTGTACGACAGTCAGCTAAAAACGATGAGAGTCAGAAATAAAGAGCGAACTGCTAGAATCTATCATGAGTACTTTGCGCGTTTTTTCAGGCTCGAGGAGCTTGGAAAAGTGACCAGGCCCTGAACCAAGGTCCACGATGGTGTTGAATTTGCGTTTGATATCCTACACATGAATCATTCAGTTAAGTTGAAAAAAACAAAACAAGTCAACCGACAAGTAGTCTCTCCATCATTCGGTCTGCAACTTCGTCCCGGACGTAGTCCACAGTCCTGCTCCCAACACCTGCATCTCTGCTCACTGCCCGATCTCTCTGCTTCCTCTTAGCAGCCCGGTCGAATACTTTATATACCCCACTAGTTGCTGGCGGAAGTGATTCGGAGGCAAATGCACGCGTCCAAGGACGTGTTGCATGACGAGCAACCACTTGGAGGAGGGACATCACTTAGCCTCGGAAGCGTCCGAATTGCGCTGGGTCGCGTCTACGCGTGACATGTAACTAACAGTCACAAGACAATCACGCGTTGTCTCCTACTTTAACTCTTTCATCATCTTAGTTTGCTCTTACAGATTCGGGGCTCTCGCTCTGCAATTTTTCATTTGACTCGCTCGATAGTTGGATATCGCGACAATGAACAATGGTGGTCAATCCAACTCAAGTGACTATCGTGCGATGGCTCCGTTTGTCAACCCCTTCAATAGCCAAGAGTACGCGTCACGCAAGGCCAAGATCGAGGAGGCTAAGCGAAAGCTCATCGAAATGGAACTACAAAATGAACTAGAGGAGATTGCAAGACAAGGGCGGGAGGCTGAGTGAGTGCTTTGTTGTTGAACAGCGTTGTAGCTAATGCGCCAAAAGGCAGAGACTGGCAGAGATGAAAGCGTCCATGGCAGCGCAAGTGCCGTGAGTAAAGAGATTTCACAACATTCTGTAGTGATTAATATATGTGATCACTTCACCAGTATCCCAGCAGGGTTTCCATCAGCAAGTGGCTCTAGCCACTATCCTAATGCAGTTTATCACTTTGCGGAAGAAGTACCTTTGACAGCCAGAATCGAAGGAGAAATACGCGACACATCTCCAAATGTACTGCTCGTATTTGCTGTGTCTTCTTTAGTCTTATTTTGTTCAGTCATCTAGGCCGCAAATGCCATATAGCTACCAACATAACTACCCGACCACCAATCAGTCACAGCAAGCAGGATTTCAGGCGCATAGTTCAACCCAGCCACCGTCGCAGAGGCCATCCTTTACGCAAACACAGTCACAGGGAGCGGCAAGGTCCCGAAGTTCGCATGCGCCATATCCTCTTGGCCCCGCATTTACTGTTCACGGCTATCAACATTCACAGCAAGCCTCGTCTACGCCTTCTCAACAGCAACGATTTAAATTTAGTATGTAGAATTTTGTCCGTTAATTTTGCATGGTTATACTTACTGCATCTGTGTTCTACCACAGATGAGGAATACTGGGAAAAGCAGAGCCAAAAGTATGCGGCAGAGCTGGCTGGTGCAAGTGCGCAAACTTCACAAGCAGGCATCAAACCGCAAGCAAGCACGTTTACTGGAACAGGGATACCCCAGTATGCCCCTCAAGTTCAACATCAAGTGGCATCCCCAGCTGCACCGGCCGTTGCGACTATCGTCTCATCGACTGGGCGCCCATCTTTGTCATCTGCTGAGCGACCGTCCACCAATCGTCAATCCTCGGGCAGCCTTGCTCAGTCCACCATGACGAAACCAGAGTTCATTCGGCGTTTCCAGTTGGCTTGCAATGTAAGTTGCGACGTTGGTGAATTCTGTACCTTCCTTTAAATACTTTCTGACAGCACGGCCCGCAAGCTATTCAAAACTTTCTGAGCTCATGCCCTGTGGCCGTGGAATGGTGGGCCGAAGCTGCGCGCAGCCTTAATCCAGAAAATTTCAAAGATGAGGGAGTTCTCAAGATGCTTAATGACATGAGAAATCTTAAGTGGACCCCCTTACCTCAAGCCAATTCTTCTGCCTCTGCCAGTACCAACGTCCATGTTCCTACAGGGATTTCGGCAACATCTGAAGCCACAATTCAACCTTTGCCTTTGCCCTTGCCTGCGAATCCCCCGCCCGCTCAACAAACGCCAGCAGGTCCCGGTACCAAGGAAGCTTTCGTGCGATACTTTCATGAACGATTTCAGGTGCATCACTTTGTACCTCGCTGACCAACCGAGTTTGACGATTTTTTCATCCTCAGGGAACAGACATGGACGTGACTGTCAAATTTCTTATGCAAAATCTGCATTCCGTGCCGGAGGAGTGGCGGAAGGCGCTCTTCGGCAGTCTAGCTCCAGAGTTTAAAAAGGAGCTTGGTCATGCATTGACTCGTGCAAAGGCTTTAGCAGCTAGCAAAACTTTACCTGTGACCAGTACCACGACGCCGAATACCTCCTCCGACCGTGTGCCAACCGTCGCGCAGCAAAGTCGAACCACTACTGCCAGCAACGCTGTTACACCTGCAACTGTGCACACTACGTCTGAGTCGTCAAAGTCGATTCCCGTACCCCCCAGACCGTCTGTGACTAAAAATACACAGGCTAAGTCCACGAGTGTACAACCCCCAAGGGCGTTGACTTCAAATCACACTGCTGCAACTACCGTCGCTGCATTGGCTACCAAGGCGACCCCCGCACCTCACGCACAGGTATCTGTATCGACCACGCAGACGGCGCTTTCAGCGTCCTCAATACAGCAAGCTACATCTCTGACCGGGACTAGTATACACGGACAAACGGTGGGCGGTGCTCATAAACCATTCAGTGTACCCCCTCCAATGAGTATACCAAGTGCTGATGGCAATGTCGCTCAATACGCATATGATCCATATTTGAAGAAATACGTGCGGGCGGATATCCCAACGGAGCGCGCAGTGCCATCAGAATCGAACACGGGTATATACTCCCACGACTCTGTGTCCAAAACATATTATAGGCAGCAGCCGCCAGCTCTCGTGCCTCAGGCCATACCGGCGCCAATGCAAGCTCCAGCTACTGTATTGATTCCGCCTTCTACTCCGCCGCGACAGAAAGAGAATGGGGCTACCCCAGTGGTGCGTACACCGCAACAGGCCGACAGGTCACGGCTTGCAAAAGATATCCTAAGGTCACTAGGAATAAATCCGCCACCCGTGACGGCGGAAAAGGAAAAAGATGCTTACGAGGAAGCTGGCGTATCACCGGGAAATCTACCAGTAGCCGCAGAGCATCAGCAGGAGACGCCACCATCTGATGACTTATCAGCAGCTGAAGCCCCACAGGAGACTAGCGTCTTACAACCTCCGGATGCTTTGATGGAACAAGAACAGGCTGAAATACAAACACCGCAAAGTCCTATCAAGGAAGTCACTGCTGATGACATAATTGTGGATGATGAACCAAGTACTACTATCCCCGAAAAGGACACTGCCTCCCCCGAATTCCCACTACCTGTTGTTACACCATGTCCAGCATCCACATCTTTGGATCAGGAGGAGTTAGCGCGTGGAGTTGATGGAATGTCGATAACCACTGATGTACACCGTTCCAAGCCCAGTCGAGAAGATGGGCCTATCGATAGTCCCATATCATTCCCAGATCTGGATGAGTTTCTACCGCCTGTGCTTGAACCTGTGGGCATCTCATCTCCTGCCCCCAGCTTTAGGGCGCAGTCGCGCGAGCAGAGTGAAGACAATAGGAGTGGGGCTCTTCCGCTTTTCCTGCCGTCACTATCGGTATCACCTGCACCCTCAGGCCACTCTGGTGTCCAACTTCCACCGGAGACAGACGATGAGGTTTTAATAGTAGAATCCATGTTACGCGGTGGTTCGCTTTCTAAGAGCCGTGTAGATTCGTTGGATGAGGATCATGCACAGACCTCACTACGAAGTGTGAAGAGGAAGAAAGGTCAACGGGTCTATGTGTTAGTACCGCAGCCTCCTCCTGAGCTTAGGAGGGCTATCAAGAAACGAAAGCTGGAGGATCAAGGCATAGTCTCTGGCTCAGAGGAAGAGGAAGAGTGTACGAGTTTGTTCCAGTTCGGGTGATTTTTCTGGCTTATGTTCGTTGCAGCCAAATACAATGATTTCGAGCAAGCCCTCATAGCGGACTGCAGAGTTCGAATGGTTGAGAGACCCTGCCAATGGAATGGATGTGATGCTCTGATGAACAACGGCGAGAACCTCTATTTGCATCTCAAGTTGCACGTGCAAGAGGCTGGGTCTCAGGTAAGTGGATACTCGATGGCAAGATCAAGGTAACTCACCAATCATCTCAAGGGTTTTTTTACATGCCGCTGGCAGTCATGTCCTCGGAGACTCAAGTCGGCAGCAGCTTTGGAGAAACACCTACAGAAACATTCGTACTTCCCTCTGCCATGTCCTCTTGCAAGTACGTGTGACCTAACGGTCTCGCTTACTATATTCGATTGACGTACTTCAGGTTGTTCAGATGTTTTCGATAAACCAGTTGAAGCGATGGGACATGAAGTACGACACCAGCAACAGGAATCAATCAAGAAATTGGAGATGAAACAGCCCCCAAAACCTTTCGCGCCAAAAATACCTCCCATGCTAGATCCTCCACCCAGCAGTCTACCATCCTATCGTGTAGAACCGAGATACATTCGCCAAGCTCATATCCCACCTCAACGCCATGCCGTGATCGGTCCCTGGGTAAGTTTTACAATAGACGCTAGGTATGCCTGCGCTATAATTGACACGATCATCAAGGTTCTTCAACACATATTTGGCCCTGTCGAACAAAACCTGAGAAAGCAGAACGCACCTATGCGACTCCGATACCCGCGCCCCGACGCTCGCCCGGAGAACCTGGATAACTTGAGGGCAAGGCCGGACGAATATGACTTCCTGGCATCACTGTCAACATCGCCAATACGAACGATCCGATATGAGGATCTTGATTCTGGAGATGTGTCGCTGGCACTACTTGACGGGCTCACGCTGTGGGATACAGATTCAAATAGTCGTCAAGAAAAATCGAATCCCAAAGAGGAGGGCTCGGATCTGACAAAAGACATGGTGATCGAGGTGCCAGAGGGAGGTACATCCAATTCTGTACCCGTGGAAGGATCTGGCAATTTACCCATGGGCGAGGCCTCAACCACGACGGACGGAATGGATGGTAGTCACTGGACTACGGAGGGCGCCGTGGGGGATGAAGAGGCTGTGATGATGATGTTATGGGATTGATGTCGTTGTTAGTGCACACGCACGGTCCTTGAATGAAAAGGGCCTCCACATATTATTGTGACTTGAACGGATGACATTGCAATTGTGGACAGTGCTAGCTGTCATATGTAACTAGGATGAGGAATTGAAAATAATTTTGTGGAAGTCGGCCACAACTTGAAGCTTACTTTGTATTGATGAGAAGCGTGATCGCAATCTGAAACCGGGTTCTAGGCCCATCACCACTTGGGCCGCGTTATTCTCCTACGCTCTCCCGCCTGTACATTATGATCGAGCCCAGTGCTACTCAAGGTGAGCTCGACACGACGCTCTTCTCCAAATACATGGTCGTTGACAAGTTCACAACAGTTCCAACTTTTATTTCGTCTCGTTCTGCCGATGTCATCCTGTCCGATATTCGTCCTACTAAATTAACTCCCGACGCTCTCAACTCCATCAATGCCCTACTGGACGAGTTACTCTATAGCACACTTAATGCAGCTCGGTCGTTCAACCCTTCCCGACTCAGGACTGCAATGCACAAAGTTCTACCAACCACCCTGGGCAAAGAAGCTATACTTGAGGCTGAGATGGAACTTAGAGCGTACTATCAGCGTACCATTACCGCTGTAGGTTCGGGCTCGTCGAGCGAGGATGGTGTTTTCAATTTGCAGTGGGCAGCCGAGGTGCGTTTTATGGCATTGCGTTACATTCACTCGGACCTCAACACCACTGTGTACAGCTTTTAAGGCTTAAATGCGAAGCATATTCAACCTTGAGCGATACAGACGAGAATTCAGACGCCGAAAATCGCCTGAAGGAACGTATGCTTGCAGACGGTGTTCCTCCTCCCAAGCAAGAAGTCCTTTCACCGGCCTCACTCTATCTAACCGCCATCATTGAGTAAGTACTTCTGCTGTTATTCAGAGTTCTCGGCCTGATAATCTATCTCGTTAGGTCCATATGCGAGTGAGTCTTAAGTTCTTTCGAAAGTGATGTTCCTGGTCCTGAGCTCATCCATATGATAGACACATTCTGTCAAATGTGGGACGTGTTGCATCACGAGATAGTAGCCGAGCAACAGCTAACTCTCAGGATTTATTCATTGCACTTTGCGAAGACAGTACGATATACGGTTTTTTCAAGAACATGAAAGGTTAGCTTATTTTTATCCGAATATTGTTCGGCACATTGATGACGTGTTTCATTGCTTCTAGTCTACGGGCAAATTGAGACACTGTCAAAATTACCGAAACTGAGACGGAGTAAATCTTTTACCCGGGAAAAGTTGTCGGGTGCGACGTCCCCGGCGTCCTCTCGCGAGGGAGACGCATCACGAAAGGACAACTCACGCCATCGCATGTCGTCAGAATCATCTAATATTGGACCCGCCATGATTTTGGGCTCTAATCCTCACTCTGCGAGATCATCTATCGACAAGGCACGCGCGATTAAAATATTTAGTGGCAACAGCAATAGAGGATCAAATGACCACCCAAATGGAACTGACTCTGTAATTGGTCATAGGAAGACAGATTCGTTAGTGAGCGCGAGCGCGAAGCAATCCATTCAGAGTGGGGACAGGTCTCCCATTTCGCCGACATTTTCCGTGCGGCTTCCATTGCTTCTCCATTATAAATACGTTGACTCATAATGCGTTCTAGGAGGATCGATCACAAGAATTTGATGACATGATGCGATCAGGGTCGACCATGAAAGTCTCGCTCACCCCGGATAGACTACGGACGATGGAGGTATATAAGGTTCCTTATCACGAAATTTTACGGATTGGTGATGATTATTTATTTGGTACTAGGCTCTTAACAAAGAGAAGGCACGCTTTAACGGTAGGAAAACCTCCCTCCAATCATCCCACAAGGACTCCATCTCGTCCGAAGCATTACTAGCATCCACTGCGCCTGACCAGCCCAAGCGAACGACAAGACCATCCTTGCGGCACGTTGACTCTATTCACGAAGACGACGAAATACAGCCCATAGTAAAACCCCCTCCAACGTCACGCCCTCGCCAGCTCAGTGCCGCTACTACTTCGGGATTTAGTCCACCCTCTTCCACCCGCGCTCGCTCTGCCTCTTCCGCTGATCCAATGGTACTAAAGTCTACCACATTTCCACCACCAAGGCAGCCGCATCCGAGCCTTGGCTCGTCCTTGAAGCTACCGAACTTAACACCAAGCAAGGCACATCAGAAGCGAACAAAGCCCATCCCTCATGGATTGGACGTCGACCAGTCACGACCTCCTCGTACTCACACCGTCGCGAGAAACAGAGAGTCACTTGATCTTGATGATATCATGGGTGCTTCGGAAAACGAGGATGAGGCAGAGAAGCTGAAGAGTACGCCCTGCTATAATTCGCAGAGAGGCATATCAGCAAGCGCTAGAGAGCTTATTGACTTTCTCGCCGAGGGCCCACCAGAACCTCCCGCAACTTCCTCAACCAATGTCAACTCAGGGTCTCTCTTGACGCCAAAAAAAACTGGCCGCCTGCAGCGCATGATCTCTAAGATCACACTCAACGGCAACGAGAAGGCTCGTTCCGATAATGAATCTGGCAAAAGCTCTCCCCGGAGGGCAGACGCTCCTACCCCTCTCCTACCCAACAAGTCCCTGACGAATCTCAGCTCCCTCGCGAACAGACCCGTTCCACCTCGATATCCTACCGACTTGCCCTCTGCTACATCATCAGACTCCCGTAGCTCTGTTGATAATGCACTCTTAGATCATCGGGTTCGGAAACAGTCTTTTTCACGCAAACCGGTGCCCCCACTTGATCCCAAAACAACCTCACCAGACCCTCTTGTCTCCACATTGGCTCCCAGCATGGTTGTGGTGGATGTTGGCCCCCCTGTACCTCCCATACCCACCAGTTTAGTCCCAACCACTTCCAAACAGCATGATTCTGTCAGCAAACGTGGTTCTGACGATAGTTCATCGGCCATAGTACCCGTGGAAGCACCTGCTCGTTCGAGCTCAGAGTCAAAGGCACCTACGGTGCAAGCACCAGAACGTTCCTCTTCCAGAGTTGTACTCTCACACCTTGCCAAACGTCCAGCACAGTTAGCCACTGCTACATCTTCACCTTCCATCCCGCCTTCTGTCATCGATCATGCTCATGACATGCGGCGAACGCTCTCGCACGCAACGAGCGCAACTGAATGTCGTCTGCTCATAGATATCTTCTTGGCTCGGGCTGGTCTGGTGGCTGACTCGTCAGAGCTTCAAGTTCTAGTCTCCGCCCCCCTAACGCCCGAATGTGCTGCAAAGGAGTCTCGGATGGAGCACGCCATTGTTGAGCTATTGCTGGGTGGCGACGAAGAGTCTTCAGACCCGCCAGTCCAGTCTGAACCATAATCCACGCAAGCCTCATACCTGTTTCATGATTCAAAGTCACTATGGATACGCCCTAATGATACCCAACTCTCCTTCACTCGATCTTCCATGTAGATCTAACAACTACTCATTTCTATTGACTCTCGTTCTCGTTATTAGTGTCAGCGAGCTGACAGTTGGCCTTTTGTTCCCTTGGTATCCATAGCCTAATGTTATTAACGATGGTCTATGTATGGTTTTTGAGCCACGAAAGCGACAACAAGAATATTGATCTGAGCACTGAACGGGTGACAAGTGTTTCATCGTACTTCCAATGAAACGGCAATGCCCATGGCGGCCAGCTCGGCACAAAGATAGCGGAACACGTAGGGAACCGCCACAACATCGAGATCGCCACCTTTTGATGAACTGCGCAGCACGTTCGATGACGGTATAGCCACCATCACGCCTGGCAACGGACTTCGATCGGGATTTTGTCCCGTAGTCAGAGCCTGGCGAGCTCGTTCGTCATCTTCCTCGGCAACCGCGCGGCACACCCTGCAGTATTCTCCACCTGGACCAGTTGCTTTTATCGTGCCAGTAGATGACTCGCCCAAGCTTATATCATCGTAACCAAGGGATATGAGACTGCCACAGGTCCGACAGACCCATGTAGTAGAGTAATCTGAACAATTCATTAACCGGTCCTGGAGAAGGAACGACGTCCCATGAGCGATCAAAGCGTCGCGTTCCATCTCCCCAAATCGGATGCCACCAGCACGTTTGCGGCCCTGTTCAGGTTATTAGCAGACAGGCAGGACCATATATGACGACTTCCCTACCTTGACTGGCTGACGTGTCACGGGGTCAACCGGGCCAGTGGTTCTGACCTGGAATTTGTCTAAAACCATATGTCGCAGACGTTGGTAGTAAACAACGCCGATGTAGATATCCGCGGCGAACTCTTGCCCAGTGATGCCCGAGTACATGGGCTCGTTACCGTAGTAATTATAGCCAGCTGCTAATAGCTGTTCGCCAAAGTAGTCAATCGCTCTGTCTTCTTCAGAGAACCTAGATGCCATCAGCTGGCGTTGTCAACAGGAGCATTGGTGATTTACTGAAAAGGAGTCGCATCTTGCGCCAGTCCATGCATAGCACCAGCCTTGCCAGCCATGCTCTCCACTAACATGCCGATGGTCATACGACTTGGGAACGCATGTGGATTGATGATGACATCAGGTTGCATTCCGCTCTCCGAGAAGGGCATGTCAACAGTGGGCCATTTTTGTGAACATACACCCTTCTGACCATGACGAGACGAAAATTTATCTCCAATGACGGGAGAACGAGTTATGCGGAAAGTAATATGCAATTTTTGCAGCTCCGTGTCCCCAGTATCACCACCTTGAATTTCGTCAGCAGCTACCCGGATGAGGGCGAAGACCATACCTAACATGCGGATTTCATGCACGATTCCTTGCTCATCGCCCTTGTACTTGACGAACCTCGTGCGCCCAGTAGTCTCATCGATGTAAGCGGCTATAGGATCCCCAGAATCCAATTTGGTCCCAATGAACGGCAGGCCATCTTTATCCAAAAATTGACAACAAGTATGCTGTTCATTGCCTTCAGCTGTTCGAACATCGTGACCAAGACCAAAATGCAATGTAGGGGATGCTGATGATTTAGTGGCCCCTCGCATTTCCTTTAGATCGATTATCTGAGATTTATAAACCGTTCCATAGCCGAAGCCACGTTCATGAGCGGATTTGTTCAGGATCATGGCGTCCTCCATGTCGTAACCGGTATAAGAAATGACAGCAACGATGGCATTGGTACCGTTTGGGAACGAGTCCATGGCGTAAGTGTTGTGTAGATGTGGTCGAACGACGGGAGTTTGGCCAGTCTGTAACCGGTAGAGCTTGTTGTCCGTTCTGTGTTGTAGGGCGGTAGATGGGGTACCCATCGTTTGTTTACCCATCTTAAGACACGAAGTCAAGCTGGGCTGATGGTTCTCGTGTACTGCAACTTACCTGACACTGATAGATATTTCTGGGACTCTATACAGCAGATTAGTAGCAGCCTACATGGTGCGTTTTTGTGTATTACCTGATTAAAATCCGAGAACGGCGTTAAATTAGCCAAGATGGACAAGAAATTTGTCGGTGCATGTTCCACGTGTGTTGAAACACCTAGCTCGACCTCGTCAGGTTTGATTGCAATGTTCATGTAAACCTGTTCAAATGATCCAACTTGGTCGTCTTTCCCGTTGGCGATGAACTTCACAGGGCGCATCATCCTCGCTCGGGTAGAAAACAAGAACAAACCGGGGTACTGTCCACCTTTCGATTCGGGGACGAAACCAATCTCTAGATCGAGGGGAACCTTGTGTCGACCCTCGGTTTTCCATATCCGTAGATTGGTGGCAAGTTGGTGAGCAACCAACTGTCTTGCCCAGCCGATGACGCGGCCATCAAGTTGAACGCAAAGGTTTTTTCGGCCATCTATTGAAGATGAGAAGGCCTGTGTCATGCCGTGAGCTGCCAGGAGTGCAGGGATCTCAGCAACGGAAAGAGGCGTCGTGATAATGCGGCACGTCCTCGAAAGATGATTGAGCAGACCGCATGGGGCACCATCAGGCGTGTGCACTGGACATAGGAAACCTGAATAATTGTTAGTACAGGGCCAGAATGACTGAAGCGCACTACTTTACCCCAAGCTTCTGGTAATAACTTTCGAACGGTTGTTGTCTTGAGCTCGGCGAAGAAGGCACCACGATGAATACATCGAAAATGACTTATATACCTCATCCAATTGAGTTTTTCGGCAACAATAGTAAACCCAGATGCTTGTTGCAAATCAAGACCCGACGGTGAAACCAGATTACCAGTAGCCAAGAAATTTGACATTTTGGAACCGATATCCCAGTTCACCTTATTGATGACCTTCATAATATATCGTTCTAGGATTATCATCAGTTCATAGCAAGGTTGAAGTGAGGCATTTGTGCATACTGTCAAGAAAATCGACTGGTGCTTCTTCTTTCCTGACGTCTGTCGCAATCTGGTTTCTTACTTGGCTCAGCGCTTCCTCAAGGCGCTCCTTGATGATCATGCCATATAAATAACCAGGCAGCAGTACTTCCTGGTGCTGTGGGGAATCTGGGTTATCTGCGCAGCACGAGGAGGATACCACACTATATAACTTTCGCAGCATGAATCTGCGTGTGAACGTCAGTGTATATCAAGAAACGGAGAAAGCAGCTACGGACACCAGCATCCGGAATTTGTCGCGAGCCGATTTAAGATGTACCAGGACCATCTTCTGGATTAACCAAGCTCCAAGAGCTTGGTTCGTCCAGTCTTCGGGCATGCCAAGAACGACTCGAAATTTGTCGCCCAAGTACTCAAGACACTGATCACCAGTGTACAAGCTATACATCTTGAAACTACGCAGAAGAAGCTCAACGCGATCTGTTAGAAAAGTGTTTTCGTAATCTTGCATCATGACGTTATCAAAAATCTCCTTGTCGGAAGCACCGATGAGAGCTTTGAGGATAAGCATGATTGGTATCACATATTCTTGTTTTCTCCAGCTGAATCGTAGCATCGCGCTTCCGTTTGAGAGATAGTGGAGAGTATTGGTAACGCTGGATTGATCGGGGCGAACGCAGCGAATTTGTACTGCATATTGTGTGTACGAAGGACCACGATTAGCGAAAGATGGGCGAAGCAGAGAAGTGACATGATTTCGACGGGGAAGAATAAGATAGCGAATTAACCGTTCGTTTCCATTGATGATGAAGTAGCCACCAAATTCTTCTGGCTCTTCATGTCGCCTCACAAGTTCTGCAGAAGGTAGACTACGAATATTGCACCGAACAGACTAGTAATAGCAGTCAGTTCATCGTCCATACAATGTAATGGGTACTTACCCGAACCATGATCGGAACTAGACCACAGTCCCGCATTACAAATTGATCGGGATGAATGTTCCCGTTAATGCTCCAGCAGACCTTTGCTTGCATACGTCCCCGATAAGAGGTTAAACGCTCACGAGCCTGTCATGTACATCAGCTTTAGAGCATCCATCTTCAAACCTGTAGAACTTGGAAATTCGATGGAAGCAACTTACCTCTGTAGGAAATATTTTGCGCTCAGTACTCCATGTATCTCTGTCTGGAACTCTAGGAGGAGCTATAGATACCTCTTCTATCCAAACTATTCCGTTGATGAACATTATATGCAAATGGGAGCCTGACGCATCACTCACTACTCAGTCGATTACCCCAACCACGCTGACCACTCTCTGTCCCAAGCTCGCCGCTGCCATCAAACACAACGCGTTCGCCTAGGTCCTTGAGACCTAAAGATAATAGTCCTCGACCATCTCCGTCTCCCTTGGGCAGCCCAGAATCATCGAAGAGCGCGTTGAAGGATTCGATATGAGGGGTGACAAATTCATTGAGGATCGGATATGTTGAGCCCGTTTTTGGTGGATTTTTGAATGATTCTTCACGCTGGATGGTGTTAAATGTTGGTTGCCGCTTTGACTTCTGTGAGCCGTCTGGCATAATGTCTGACTGAACTACTTTCCCCTGGCTTTTCCCCTGCTCTTGCCAAATTTTTGGCTGAATAAGGTTAGTTATTGTGAGAAATAAGTTCCAAATGTGTGCATATCGGACCTTCGATATTATAAACTCCGCATCCTACTCCCGATGTCGACAGCACCAGTGACAAACGACTGCAGGCTCTTTCTTCAGATATGTTCGGAAGTAACACAGTGCAATCTTCCTGGGCAAATCCTCAACAGAATCAGAGCCAACCGCAGAGTTCTGGTTTTGGTCAACCTAGCGGCTTCGGACCCGGAACAGGTAAGCAAGTCATTTGCCTGTACAGCGTTTTACGCACCTGTTAATCGCTGAACAGGCTTTGGATCAACAGGTGCTTTTGGTCAGCCCCAGCAGCCACAAGCCAATCCAATGTTTGGCAATTTGGCGAACCCAAGCACGGGAACTTCAGCATTTGGTGTGTCCTGTCACGTTTATTGTATCCCTCATGACTGAATCACATTCGATGCAGGCGCATTTGGCCAGAATCCACCACAACCAGCTGCGGGTACCTCAGCATTCGGAGCTCCAAAGCCTGCCACGGGCTTATTTGGAGGGGGAGGCACCTCAGCTTTCGGAAGTGGCAGTAACACTTTTGGCTCAACAGCTGGGACGGGGCCCACGGTTTTCGGATCCAATCCCAACACTGGGGGTGCGTTTGGTTCTTTTGGACAGAATAGAGCCACCACTGGCTTTGGTGTTACCTCTCCAAGTAAGTGCACTTTTCTTTTTATGAAATGATTCAAAGGAGCTGACGATTGTCTTCAGCCACTGGCAATGACACCACTGCGCCTGTCACAACAGGCACATCGAATCCCCCCTACAACTCCTTCAGTGAAAAGGATCCGACGTCAACATCTACCCTGCAATATCAAACAATAACGGCTATGCCCGCCTATCGAGGGACGTCGCTTGAGGCGAGTGATTGCCACCTCCAGATATCAATCCCTTGCTTAACGGTCTTGAAATCTTACTTAGGAGCTTCGTTATCAAGATTATCAACAGGGACGGAAGACTGCAGGGGCATTTGGTCAGCCGTCCTTTAGTGGCACAGCAACTACCCAACCAACGAATTTATTCGGAGGTGCCCCTGCGCAACCTGCCACCACATCTATATTCGGCGGTGGTGCCGGCGCGGGGACAGCGTTCGGAAGCACGGGAACAACAGCAGGCAATCCTGGTACCGGCTTTGGAGCTTTCGCGCAACCCCAGCCCGCGCAACCGGCGACAGGTACTGGAACGGGAATGTTTGGGTCAGCCTTCGGTCCACCTCAACAGCCACAGCAACAACAGCCACAGCAACAACAACAGCAGCAACCTTCAACCTTTGGTTCCTTCGGGCAGCCACAGCAGCCAGCCACAACTGGGACCAGTATCTTTGGTTCGGGTGGTACATTTGGGCAGCAGAACAAGCCCACCACTGGCTTCGGGAGTGGTACCTTCGGGTCAACAAGTAGGACTCTTGCCGCTACCGATCTCGTACCTTCTAACATTCTACAACAGCAGGCGGCGCGTTCGGTTCTACAGGAACCTTTGGACAACCAGCCAGCCAGCCTACTGCAGGTACCACAGGCATTTTTGGTCAACCCCAACAGCAGCAACCTGCAACTGGGAGCACATTCGGTGGTTTTGGTACATTACAACGTTCATGTTCTATGAACAATACTAACTTTGTCGCTGTAAGGTTCGAACACGACTGCTGCCAAGCCGTCGATTTTCGGTCCGCCTGTTCAGAGTGGCACAACGTCTACCGGCTTTAACACGTTTGGCAATCAGCAGCAGCAGCAGCAGCAGCAACCTCAGCAGCAACCTCAGCAGCCGCAAGCGGGTAGTATATTCGGGAATACGGGCGGTGGCCTGTTTGGCCAGACCCAACAGCAGCAACAGCAACCTCAACAGACTGGGTGTAGGTTTTTTTTCCTCCAGTAGTTCATCTTAGTGATCTTTTTCACGAATAGTATTTGGTTCCACCCCAGCTCAACCTCCAGGTGGCCTATTTGGAGGTTCGACGGGTGGAGGTTTATTTGGGAATGTCCCACAAAATCAGCAGCAGGCCCAACAGCCCGCTCAACAGGGTGGGCTTTTTGGAACCAAACCGGCCACTGGCGGGGGTTTATTTGGCAATACGTTTGGTCAGACGGGCACGACGGGAACAATAGGCTCGCAACCCCAAACGAATCTTTTCGGGCAGCCTACGGGTCAAACAACGAACCAGCAATCAGCAGCTGGCACGAACGCGTTGGGCACATCTTTATTTGGCCCCAAACCCGCTGCACCTGGTCTTGGCACCTCAATATCAACGGGTAGCTCCTTATTTGGAAATGGACAATCATTGTCTGGTCTCAACTCCTCTGCTACTGTTCCTGGACCACAGGGAACTCTGTTCGCCTCCATTGCTGAACCTCTTTCTCAGAATCTGCCAATCTTCTCGATGCTCCCTCCTGGCCCGCGTGCCGTAGACCTTGACCAACAACCCAAAAAGAAACCCGGCTTTTTCGTCGACGTTCCTACACGTTCGCCTGTTCCATATCTGCAGCTCGGTTATACCCCCGCTAATTCGAAGCTGCGAGGCTTTGCGACATCAACGTCGGGGACTGCGCTCGGGTCCAGCACGAGTCCCTTCGCCACATCATTGACGAATGGGAAATCCAATGCGTTGGCACTTAGTCGCCTCGATGGGAAGGGTCCTGATGGATTGTTGGGGCGAAGCTCCACGCCATCTCTAGGAAGTGGGGGACGTCAGAGCGTGAAGAAATTGATACTGGACAAGAAAGTTGAGCCTGCAGACCTCTTCAGTCAATCTGGTTCGCGCGCTAGTCCCAGCAGAGTAACGTTCAGCCCTGCCCTTGGCCAGGCTGCACGCGAAAAGGAAGTTGCAAGAGAGAAAGAAGCCGCCGTCAGTGCAACACCTGCTGCTCCTCAAGTGGAGACTCCGACGCCTATCACTCGCAAAGTTCCCGGTCGCTTTTCTGCACAGAGCACCACCAATGTGTTGGGCTCCCAATCGACCTCACCTGAAAAAGAGCCTCCAGCACCAGCAGCATTGCAGCATGGTAGCTACTGGGTGAAGCCCGACCTCCCGACCCTCGTCAACCTTGGTTACGAGGACCTAGTGGCATTCAAGGACCTCATCGTTGGGCGTGTCGGCTATGGCGAGATCCAATTCCTGGAACCAGTCGACCTCACTAATCTTCCAAGACTTGGCGCTCTCCTGGGCGAGATTGTCAAGTTTGATGATAAAGAGTGCAGCGTTTACCCGGATACTGACGATGCAGACAAACCTGCACCGGGCTCAGGGCTCAATGTTCGTGCACGCATTATTCTTGTCAGATGCTGGGCGACGGATAAAGCAACTCGCGAGCCCATCAAGAATGAGAAAGATCCTGGTGCAGTTAAGCACCTGAAGCGGTTGAAGACGATCAAGGAGACCCACTTTGAGGGCTTTGACATTCGGGAGGGAAAATGGACATTCACTGTGGATCATTTCTGAGCATGGTTCTCGTTACATGTGAGGTGTTGGTTCTCTGTCGGCATACCTGTGCGGTGCAGTAGTATTCCTCTCCATATATTTGTAAGTGTTGTCTATGCCAAAAGTGCTGTTCTTAGTTTAGGTGCAGTTAGGAATACTTTGTACGCAAGTAGATAGCTTTGAATATTTGAATAATAGGTTAACAAACACCAGAAGCGGACAATGATGATATCACCTTACGCCTGACAAGTTGGAACGCGACACCTTGAAATTACCAGCTTTCCAACCAAGTTGCCGACTGCCATCATTGACCTATCTGTACATGTTGAATGCAAGCACAGGTCGTACAATACCCGAAATCATGCTGACCGCGTTTGACAGATGCCTGAAAACAAGCTTGAGGGGCAAAACGCGGCTGTCGCGCGCGGTGCCATAGAGGGCGCACTCTCAGGTTCAGCAATCGTAGCACCAACATGGTACCTGCTGAATCGCAGATGGCCCGCTTTTCGTGCCATGCCTATTACGATGAAGACGCTGGGCGCCGTCATCATCATCGTGCCCTTGATTTCCATTAGGGCGGAGCACCGTGGGCTGGACTTTCATCGTCAGCATTGGTATGTCGGGCGTTTTGTTTTGAAGCATTGTCTAACTTGGACTGGTCTAGGACGGGTATCGGAAAGACGGAGCTGGAGAAGGAGCGAGAGGAGGAGCAGAGGAGGTGGGCTTCGTTGAGCCCGAAGGACAAATTAGCGGAGTGGACGGCGAAGCACCAGCTCAGCGTTATCGTTGGCAGCTGGGCCCTCACTATGGGCCTTGTCGGGAGGAAAGTCATGCGTGACCCGTGCGTTTTCCTTTTGCAGTGTGGTTTGAGCTGGGCTGAAGCGCTGACCACTGAGATGACAGCTTGATATCTATGCCAAACAAGGTATGATGAACTTTTGTCGCTTCGGTCACTGCTTGTTTTCGTGCTGAAACATGTTATACCGTTGGCATCAGGTCGTCCAAGTGCGTCTCTGGGCTCAGGGGCTTACTATCGGTGTCATCATCGCAGCTGCTGCTCTGACACACTCCCAACGCGCACAGGCGGCCGATATGAGGAAGGTGTGCTTCTTTGCTTCTTTCCCCGTGTTCTGCGAATCTTCTAACGGGTTCATTAGCACTCCCCGGATCATACTTGGGTTTACCTGGTATGAATTTACACCCTTCATTTTAGATGTTGTGTTGACTTCGGTTCTAGCTGGACAAGCAGCGCCTTGAGAAGGAACGTGCACAAAAGGCTTAGTACTTGCCCTGCCCATGGTTTGCCTGCATCCTGAAGTGTTTATCTTTTTGTGTTGTATTAATACGCATTAATGCCGTTTACCTATACAAAACATCTGACTCATCAGCGCAGTCCATCAATCGTTTCATTTCCAATACAGATCCTGGCTTATCGGAAGTTGATTCACGCTGAACCTGCAAGAAAAAATGAAGCTCTATTATATCCCAAGGAACCGTGATAGATATAGCGACAGACAAGGCAGGTTCATGGGTAACGGACAAGAATATCATGAGGATATAAACATGATGAGTACGCCAAGATGTGTCAGGCGGACAGAAAGTCGATCCATGCCTTCATGCTCCATAAAAGCGCCATGCAAAGTATGCTCCCAGTAGGGTCAATGGGATAAAGTACATCAGGCTGCAGAAGAGGTCAGTTGTGAAGGGAACAAACGTGCAAGGAAACTTACTTTGAACCCTGCTCAACAGCGTCAGAGACCGAAGCGCCAGAGCCGGGAGCCTTGGTATCGCTGATTTTCAGAGCCTGATAAACCGGGTTAGTGTATTTTAGATGGGAATTGCTGTGAACAGCTTACGCCATCCTTCTCAAAGCTTCCGACAAGGAGGGGAGGAAGGAGGTCACGAGCCTCGTCAGAGTGGCCAACATCTTCGAAAGCTTGGGTTGCATCTTTGCCTGCAGACGGCATATTTTTAACCTGGGATTAGCCACCCGATTTCACAGAACACATACCAGCTTCAGCCAAGATCACGTCGTCACCTCCCGGGTGCTATAAAATGAAGTGCCATCGTCAGAGAATGATAGCTCGGGATCCATCCCGGCGGTTGCATACCTCGTCGATGAACTTAGTAACATCGTACACTGTTCAACACGTCACCACGTAGACACAATTTGACAAGTTTCCTTGTACTGACCTTCTCCGTGGATAAGAACATAAAGATTGTCCTTAGTAGAGTGTGCCTTGAGCTCTTCGTACGTGACGACCTTGGCCATTGCAAGTGCTGTTGGTTGCAAACGAGAAAGACAGCGATGACAGGAATGACTATGAAGCAAACAGGAAGTAAGTGTTTCAATGGCATAAAAAGCCCACTCGACTAACGTGGGAGTCGGGAAAACCTATCTTCTCACACAAACCAGAATCTCACGATTGGTCGCCAAACGTTTTCTAACCCGAGTTGTCTTAGACTGCCAATTCTCCAACCAATCAGGATTTTTTGTTTCAAATATTGACAATATTGTAACAAGTTTTTGCCAAGAGAATAACATTATGCGCATTACGGACAGATATACCATGATAACGTGTACGTAATTACTTGACACGTTACACAAGGATTAAATATTACAAGTAAGTGTAGAATGTATATCCGCATCGGTTTAGTACTCGAATGACCACAGTGGTTACTGAACAAACAGCTGGACATTCAAGCGTGGAACTGAGCACGCTCTGATAGCTAAATCTTCCACATCATCAGTATAGGGACGAAAGCACTGTGAGCCATGTCCCTAGGCATTGGCGAGTGGAGGTTGCACATGAAAGAATAGTCGATCTAAGTCTACACCAAGTCACTTCAGTGATGCCGGTATGATTTGGCGTAAACCCTGGTCGAAATCGTCTGCGAAAAAAATACAAATGAGGACGAGAAGTTCTGGCGTTGGCAGCGGAAGTACGTGTCGATGAAAACTGCAGTGTGGCGGCACCTAAGACGAGGAGATGAAACTTGCTTTCGCTGTCACTTATCACTACCAGAAAATTTTAACAGAAAATCAAATTTTTGATCTCCGATTCACTCCGCACTCGGGCCGTGCCGAGGGGTGTGGGACACCTTTCTTGACCACTCCTTCAACTCTCCCGCAAGGCGTCGTACCATGGCTTACGACGATGAGCATGCTGACATTCTTGGCGGCCCCATTTTGCAGATACCAGATACTGGTATCCTGGGTCAATGGTCCCAGTACTCGATTCTATTCAGGGCTAGTCTCATCCTAGCACTTGGCCTATTGGTATCGCTCATCTCAGTACGCGCCTGGGACATATGGAAAAAAAATCAGGAATTGGGCTACAGAAAGTGCGTCATTCTTTTTAGATTTCTTTAGCCTTTGCTTATGACACCTATGACAATCAGAGCGATGCGTCGCAAACATGGAATCCCAGACTCGGACTGTCGTCCCTTTGCTGTAGCATATGCTGCGGCCACCCGGGCGCGCGCTGAACGCGAGGCTCAGGACAGAATACAGGCCAATAACGTCACGGAAGAGCCTCCGGCGATAAATAATCAAGTTCCGTTGGTAGACGCGCATGGATTGAGGCGAAGGGCGGCCGATTCTGGTGTGTGCAACTTTTTCGTGTTTTGTTGTCTCGATCTGATCGTTATACAGTTACGAAACCACATGTTAATCAACTCCCTGCCACAAGGCGTACCATTTCTGGCTTTGATCACAAGCCCAACGGATTTGACTTTGCGCACCGATATAATCCCCGCCTTCGGGATGGCCTCCTTCCTCTCGCGCGCGAGTCCCTAACGCCTTTGAAACGTTCTTATCGTCGCGCTAGCAGAAAGGATCTTGTTTTCGACCCGAACGTGGCGGTGGAAGGCAAGAAACGAGCTTATGATCATGAGGGCAATCATGAACTTGCAATATCAAAGAAGTCTCGTGTTGATAGTGATGACCTCATTGACGATGATGAGGAACTTGAACTCCTCGAGGAAGAGGACGAGCTAGAGCCCGCTCAACGGGGATCAAAACGGACTTTTGACTCGGATGAAGAAGTTGATTATATGCGCACCGATGGTCGTGACAAGCGCCCTCGGAACATGTCGCGAGCTCAGACACCTGAAGACCAGGAAATGGAAGCTGTTGAGGACGATGTCGCTGAATTGCACCCAATTCCTCGTGGGAAGAAGCGTGATCGTGCTGAGGCTGGCTCGACTTTCGGCGGTGATGATGAAGAGGGGGTACTGGATGATCAAGATGACAGGTCTCACCGTCATCGCAAGCGTCGCACGGTTCGTCCAAGAAAACCAGATGGTTCTTCTCGCGGCAGGAAGCGAGATCGTGATTCTGAATCCCCAGCAAGCGAGGGCAGTACTGGAGGTTCTCATAGGCACAGCGAACGCACCTCCAAGAAGAAGAAAGGGGCCAAGAAAACTTCTTCGGTGACAGCCAGCGATGCTCTAGACGGCTCGCAGGATCCCCTCTGCAAAGGTAGAAAAATTGGCGAGGTGTGGGAATCAAGTGGTGTTCAATACAAGGTCGGGAATGAAGGCGAACGGCTTCGTCTCACATTGGTGAAAAAGGCTCGGAGCAAGTATTCAATGGTAGGTTACGGCCCCTTTGTTAATGTGCTTGTGGAGCTAACCGAAACACAGCCCAGGGATTCTCAGCACCCAGATCGGCAGGCTAATATGGAGATCTATGTGGAAACCTGGCTGACAGATGAACAATACAAAGACTCTGAGGAGCGGCAGGAACTTGTGTGGCAAGAGACGCCTAGAGCCTCGATTGAGCCTAGCACCCCCGGTGAAGCTCCTCTATCACCAACGAAGACGGGTAAGGACCTGCTCTGGGATTCGATGAAGAACAGCCCTGTTTCTAGTCGTGCCTCCCGCCAGTCGTTGACCAATGGCCCAATCCGGGTAAATCCATTTAAGCAGCCTTTACCTCAGGCTACAACTGGTCGACGTGTTGCCTCTTCAAATGTTCATACTCCACCATTAATTCCTGGTGTGGCCGAGGGTCCATCTCGTCCGGGGTTTCGTGCATTCTCAAAATGGGAGAAGCAGGATCTTGAGGCTGAGGCGATGGCGAGGATGCGTGCACGGATGCTGGAGCAGAAGAAAGGAGAGATCCCTCAATCAAAGGCCTTTGAGCTTCCGACCAGTGCCACGGCACCTGAGCTAGGCCCTAAAGCTCCGGCTGTGCCCATCATCACATTCACCCCGCCACCCCCTACTGCATCCACGTCTGGCAGCACTGAGACAAAGTCGACACCGTCATTATTTTCATTTGGTAATACCTCAACGAGTACGGACGCCTCAAAGCCCACTGCTCCTACTACGTCTTCCACACCAGCAAGCGTTACACCTGCGGCCTCGGTTCCAGTTGCCAATAAACCTAGCCAATTCCCTACCTCGTCTACTCCACAGATAACCCCTGCAGTGCCGCCGTCTTCATTTGGCCCGCCCACGACACAACCTACTAGCACTACCACCACCGTACCTATCACATCATCCACACCCTCTATACCCGACTTTTTCGCTAAGCCAGCTGCACCATCGACTCCTGCGCCTGCAGCAACCCCAGTTCCTACATTTTCTTTTGGTCCCACGCCTGCACAGCCACTGTTCGTTGCACCTGCTTCCGTATCCACCAATACCTTTTTTGCACCAGCAGCATCAGGCACAGAAACCGGCAAACCGGCACCATTTCCTTTCGCAAAACCCAGTGTACTACCTCCCTCGGTGCCAGCATCTACATCAGCACAAGCTAACCCCACATCGATATTTGGGGCCCCTTCAAGCAACGCTGCCCCAGCTTCTGCTCCACTGAAGTTTGACTTTGGCAAAAAGCCTGCGAGCACGATCCCCAAGCCTGCTGCTGCATCTCCCCCTACCGTAACTGCTACCGATGCTGCAAAACAGACTAGCCCTTTATTCGCATTCTCGGCGGCCGCTCCCCAATCCAGTCCCTTGGGGGCAAGTCCACAGCAAAAGTTCTCGTTCGGTCAGCCCTCGTCAGCATCAGTATTTGGTTCTGGTAGCAATGCCACTGCTACATCAAAACCTGCTGAGACCTCGGAAGCGCCCAAGCCCAAAGGAGCAGAGACTGAGACGCCCAAATTTTCGTTTAGTCCGCTCTCCGGTGGTTCAGCGTTTAGCTTTACAGGTGCTTCATTGGCACCCAAGTCAACGCCGAGCTTTGGAGCACCGTCAGGGGCATCAGCCTTTGCCATAACTCCGTCTTCGGGTGGTGATGCGAAGAAGACGGACGCGTCATTATCAATCTTTGGCGCCGCAAATGCTGCCAAGGAAGATGGAAGCAAGGCTGGCGCTTCTACACCTGCAGTCTTTGGTGGTTCTAGCTTTGGTACAAATGCAAATGGCATCTCGAGCAATATCTTCGAGAAGTCCAGTGTTCCACAGCCCAGCGGTGACGTAAGCACGTCTACTTTTGCTCCCAAGAGTGTATTTGGCAATGCCACGTCGAGCAATGCATTCTCTACAACTCCTGCTGGATCTCCTGCTGTATCTGGCAGTGCCCAGCCAGGCACTTTCACGTTTGGCAATGGGTCAGATAAGCATACAGATAGCGTGAAGCCGTCACCATTTGCTCCATCAAGCAATCCCACGTCTGCTGTCTTTTCATTTGGGAAGAAGGAAGACACCGCAGCGCCTTCTTCGTCCAGTATCAATACTTCTACTGCGCCTGCATCATCGACGCCCACGTTTGCATTCGGATCTTCTGTGTTCGGTCAACCTTCGACGAGTATTTCAAATGGGCCAACGCAACAGCAATCGGTCTTTGGGAAACCGTCAGCACCTACGCCCAGTGCGTTTGGTTTCAGCAGTGGGGCTGGAACTGGAACTGGAAACAGCACGTTCGCTTTCGGGGGTCAACCGGGAGGCCAAAACCAACAGCAATGATGCATACCCATGTTTTTATCTACACTCCTGCATACGTGACCTTGTACAGCACATACCTTTTTCTGTATTGCGTCTTCCCGGTACTTTATAGGCGTACACACAAGTATTGCTTATCTCATCGCATGTCATCGTTTGTTTTTTGTACCATCACGATTCATGTGTTCGGGGCATTCAGCGTTGTCTGATTGGAGGCTCCTACATCTAGCAGCCTGATACCTCTGCTTCAATACCCACTTCAACTAACACCGTATCTTCCATAGCCACTCTAATGACCCAAATATTGTTGGTCTTTGCACTCAGTCTCTATGCTCGTACGAGAACATGTCAATGAGAAGGGGCGGTCCAATGATCGATGCAACATTCGAAGATCACAATGACGAGGGCGACAAAAGTGTCCCATCGAGGTCCTGGCCATGCTCATGGTGAAGTTCAGCACGAGACATAATGCAAGGACTGACCACAGCGGCAGCCATGATAATGTTACATATAGCCACTTGGAGCTTGACATGGACAGATGAGGAAGCCCGATATAAACTACCTAGTAGTAGGCTGGGGATTGTCGACGTTCAATGGAGTCGGTCGTATTTCAACGTGAATTGGCGAAGGAAAATCAAATTGCAGTTGACTGGTTCCTAGCTGATGCATCATGATCTGCGACGGTCAAGCGTGTGCAGTGCTTCCAATACACGAGGCACTTGCCACCTGGCAAACCGATTGACTTCATGGTGGTTAAACCAGTACCTACAGTTGGAGATTATAGAAACCTAAGTTAGCGTGCACGCCACAGTGACATTCAACAAAACTAAAAACACACCTGGCCATCTGCAGATGACGCGGCAATATTAGTCTATCTCAAGAAAGGAGATGAAATGAAGACTTAGTACAAAAATGATGCATACTAACTGTCGAAACTGAATGACAAGAGACACCGATCAGAATTCAGATCCAGATGCCAACACGGGATATGGAATGGAAAAAAACCGATCCTCAAAACACATGACCACCGCAGGGGTCGAACCTGCAATCTCCTGATCACGTAATCGTAGTCAGACGCGATGCCATTTCGCCAGGCGGCCGTTGGAACAACGTGAATGTACATGCACTATACGCTGAAGACGGGATAAGATTGCCCATAATCGTCAGTACAACAATTCAACTACCGGACCTTCTCTATGTCCGTCTTGTTCGAAACTTCTCTAGGCGACCTCGTCATCGACCTTGAGGTGGAGCAGTGCCCAAAAACATGCGAGAACTTCTTGAAACTTTGTAAGGTTTACTACTATAATTTGAATGCATTCTTCAATGGTGCGTAATTCTCCCTTCATTGGTACCTTTGCCTTAAACAACAGTATCCAGTATCCAAAGATTTCCTAGCTCAGGCTGGTGATCCCACTGCCACGGGAACAGGTGGAGAATCAATATGGTCATATGTTGCCTCGCAAGGGGAGAAGGATGCCACAGCCGCCCGGTATTTTGCCCCAGAATTCGTCCCAAAGTTGAAGCACACCCATAAAGGCACAGTGTCCATGGCCGTAGCACCCTCTGTGAACGACGAGAAAGGTGGTTGCGGCAGCCAATTCTTCATCACACTTGCAGACAACATAGACTATCTCGACGGGAAGCATGCAGTTTTTGGTCACGTCGTAGAAGGGTTGGAAACGCTGGACAAGCTGAATGACGTCTTCACGGATCAAGATGGGAGACCATTCAAGGATGTGCGGATCAGACACGTCGTTATTCTTGGTGCGTTAGTACCTAGTTGGACCCTGATGTTTTCATGTGCTGATGGACATCCGTAGATGACCCGTTCCCTGACCCGCCCAGCCTAGTCCAACCTCCGTCATCTCCTACTCGACCCCCAGATAATTCTACTAGGATTGCAGAAGATGAAGACCCCCTTGCCACTCTTCCGGATGAGGAAGAGGAGCGTATACGCCGCGAGAAGGCCGCAGCAGCCTCTGCCCTAACGCTTGAAATGGTTGGCGATCTGCCTTTTGCCAACGTCCGGCCTCCAGAAAACGTCCTTTTCGTGTGCAAACTCAACCCTGTCACACGAGACGAAGACTTGGAACTCATCTTCTCCAGATTCGGCACCATTATGAGTTGCCAAGTCATTAGGGACAAGAAAACGGGCGACTCATTGCAGTACGCTTTCATAGAATTTGATAAGCGAGACGACGCAGAACAGGTTCGTGGTGTACACCTTTTGCATAGTGAGACAAGACTCAAGGACTTGTCAGGCCTATTTTAAGATGCAAAATGTATTAGTAGATGATCGACGTATTTGGGTAGATTTGTACGTGCGAAACCACTTCATTGATAATTGTCTGACTCATCTACGCAGCTCGCAGTCTGTGGCACGGCTCAATACTACCTGGTCCAATAACCCCAAAGTGGGACTGCATAGCAAAGAAAGGGGCGGGTTTGGCGGTCGTGAAGACTTGGAAGAAACTCGACGATACCGGGCAGCTGGAAGAAGCGATGGCAGAAATGGTTATGGAATGGTGTTTGAAGTTCCAGATGACAAAAGAACTTCATCACGCAGGAGTAGACATGATCGAGATAGGGAAGACCCTCGGGATCGACGCCGACGCTCCGGCTCTCCTGTGCCACGCAACAGATCTGGAGAAAGGCGCCGCAGCAGAGATAGATATTCTCGGGATCACAGGACACGCCACTAGTAGCGGATCTGAAACTGAACACCGTGCCTGTATGTTTTTACTCATTGTGCTCTGTGTACCAAAATGATGGCCCGATGAGGCAGCCCACCAGTCTGAACTGTAATTTCCACCATTGCTGTGCCACGGGGCTAGATTATAAGACATTTGCGCAATGAGAGCTGTAACTCTCTGTTTCTCCTTTGGCCTCTCCCTCATGACACACTCACACAATGACTTCTATGCTCCCGGCTCTGATATGCTCCTGCTGTCGAGCGACGATGTCAAATTCTGCGTCCACCGTTGCATACTAGCAGCCGCTTCTCCATTCTTTGAACACATGTTTGCATTGCCACAGCCTCCTGACGATCCAACAAACGAAGAACGTCGTCCTGTAATCCCCGTGTCGGAGCCTAGCTCAACCGTGCACACGCTTCTGCGTTTCGTCTACCCCGTACCTCATCCTACCACTTCATCCCTTGACGAACTCAGCAATATTCTCGGAGTCGCAGTCAAATACGACTTCCTCGGTGTCATCTCCTCTCTTCGCAAGCAACTTATCACCCCCGCGTATCTGAGAGATGATCCCGTGCGAGTGTTTGCAATTGCGAGCCGTTACGAATTCGAGCATGAAGCTCAGGTTGCGTCACGACACACGCTCTCCGTCAACATCCTTGACTGTCCATTGTCGGATGATTTCCGCTTCATCACAGCGCACTCTTATCATCGCCTCCTCGTCTTGCACAAGAAACGTTCAAAGGATGCCCAAGCGCTCCTGAAGATTCCAGAAGACGTGAAGTGCTTGCAGTGCTCAGGGCCATATTATGGGGCGTTTGTACCGCCAAAGTGGTGGAAGGAGTTTGAAAGAATGGCAAGAGTAGACCTGGAAATACGGCCAACCACAGATGTTATCTTCAGCATGCCATTCTTTGCACGGGCTGCAGAGGCATCTGGATGCGCGCGATGTGCGAGTAGCATTCTAGACTCGCATGAATTCTTATCAGATCTCAAGCGACAGATCGACGAGCTTCCTGCTACTATATGATTGTTCCTCTTCACGACCATCATGACTATCACGACGTTATCATTGTCATATAACCTAGGACTTCTCGGGGACGTTCTTTATATGCGCCATTCTACGTTAATATTCCGAGTACTTTACTGCGCATCACCTATTGTCATTGTATTATGAAACGAGATACTCTTAGATCTAACCATGATTGTATGCATAGTTATATAGGCTACTCACGTAGTGACCAAAATTACGGTCATTACGGATATGATTTCAACTGGTGATATGAATCGAGTGCCTGGCTGACGTGTCGACATGTCAAGTTCAAGCACTGCTTAAGCGAGTATGTAAGGAGGCTTGGCCAAGAGCGCACTGGTAGCGCGGCACCTGGGGAAATTGCCGTAATCACTTTGTTCGCGGCTACTGGGGTCGACTAGGGGGAGGACCGTAGGAGGAGTCCTCGAAGGAACGTACGGATCTCAGGGATCAAGTAGAAATATGAGTGAAACATTATTTGAGATACCCGAGGGGGTAAGTAACTAGGGTCCGCTGACAGGTAGCGTGACTCAGATTCGGACATCTTGGCCTACTAAAATTAAAGTCCTGGGCGACTCTTCCAGATCTGCCTATCTCAACGACTTTGTCTCCAAAATGTCTACACCACAGCTCGCCACATTCAAGGTACCTGCAATCGAAAATGAACCTATGGTGAGTCTATAGAACTCCATGAGTCACTCCTTCTTATCCTGGATCATGTCGGCAGCGAACCTATGCTGCGGGGACAGTAGAGCGCAAGGGTCTCGAAGCTGCACTTGCTCAGATGCAACAGGAACTTCCATTCGAGGTTCCCTGTATCGTCAATGGCTCACCGGTCTGTACAGCTTGTCACTGGCCAACTCGTCGATGACTTAGATTTCCTCGGATCTTAGATCAAAACTGGTAAACTTGCCAAGCAGCCCATACCCTCAGATCACGCCCGTAATCTCTGCGTATACCACGAGGCAGATGAAGCGACTGTAGCCAGCGCGATTGATGGTGCTCTTGCCGCCAAAGCTGAGTGGGAGGCCATGCCTTGGAACGATCGTGCCGCCATCTTCCTGCGTGCTGCAGAGCTTGTTAGCGGCAAGTACCGTTACAAATTGGTAGCAGCTACTATGCTTGGTCAAGGCAAGAACGCTTGGCAGGCCGAGATCGATGCTGCCGCAGAGGTGTGTAAGATGGAACTATCTCGATGGCAGTTGATTGATGGAATTTTCGCAGCTTTCCGATTTCTTCCGGTTCGGCGTCAAATATGTTGAGGAACTCTACGCACAACAGCCTCCTAAGAACGCAGCAGGATCATGGAAGTAAGTGCGGTGCCCCTTCTATCAGGCTACTTCTGATGATTGGATAGCCGCGTCGAGTATCGTGCGCTGGAAGGATTTGTTCTCGCAGTTTCGCCATTCAACTTCACAGCGATTGGTGGTAACCTTCCAGGTGGTACGAGCGACTATTTTTATCATGATTATCACGTTCTGAACTAGTCATCTTAGTTCCCGCAATCGTCGGTAACACAGTCGTATGGAAACCTTCACCAGCGGCCACGTATTCCAACTACTTGATCTACCAGATCCTCGCGGAGGCTGGTGTTCCAGCCGGCGTTATCCAGTTCGTTCCTGGGCCTCCTCCAGAAGTCGTCGCACAGGCGATATCGCACCCCAACTTTGCAGCGCTCCACTTCACAGGCAGCACCTTTATATTCAAGAAGCTATGGAAAGACATCGCCGCAAACCTGGACAAGTACAAAGGGTATCCGAGAATCGTCGGTGAGACAGGAGGAAAGAACTTCCATGTCATCCATAAGTCGGCAGAGATCCGAAATGCAGTTTTGCAGACCATGCGAGGCGGGTTCGAGTATCAAGGTGCGCATATTGCGTGTATGAGTGGCGCGCAAGACTGACAGGCGTGTGTGCAGGACAAAAATGCTCTGCGTTGTCACGGCTATATGTTTCTTCTTCGCTTTGGTCATCTGGATTCAAAGATCTGCTCCTGTCTGAGATTGCCAAGATCAAAATCGGGTCACCATCAGACTTCGGCAACTTTATGGGACCCGTGATGTACGTTCCATTTCTATGCATCGGGCTGCGCATTGATTACTGAATAATATCGCAGAGGTCGTCCGGCTTATGACAAAATAATTGGTTTCATCCAGAAAGCCAAGGATGCGGGAGGGGAGGTTCTTATCGGAGGCACTGGTAAGGCAGATTCTACGACTCACCTGCGACTTTTCTCATGATCCTACAGGCGATGACTCCAAGGGCTACTTCATACAGCCCACCGTCATTCTGACCAAAGATCCTGAATCAGTCACGATGAAAGAAGAAATCTTTGGTCCTGTCATCACTGTAATGGTTTTCGTTCGCAAATGCGGCCAGATGTACTAACAACTTTCCAGGTTTATGTGTACGACGACGCGAATTATGAGCAGACTCTGGAACTCATCGACAACACCTCGCCTTATGCCCTGACCGGCTCTATGTAAGTCGCAAGGTCTCTGCGATATGCGTCGGCTGACAACTTCTTTTCCAGCTTTGCCGCAGACCGCAAAGCCCTTCTGACTGCCACAAACAAGCTACGGAACGCTGCCGGCAACGTCTATTACAACGAGAAATGCACCGGGGCGGTCGTGGGTCAGCAACCTTTTGGGGGAGGACGAGCAAGTGGGACCAACGACAAAGCTGGGAGCATCAGCATCTTCTACCGGTTTGTTTCGGCAAGAAGCATAAAGGAGAACTTCGTGGGCCTGGAGGACTTCCAATACCCGTCGAACTTGATTTAAGATTATGAGAATCGTGAAAACAACGGTAGTCATCCACGTGGTATCGATCAAAGAATGATGTTGTTACTTGTATTTGACGAGAAATGTTTGTGGAGGACGAATTTTAAAGTGTCCTGAAGAGCACTCGAGCAGCAAACCTCATCGAGTATACACGGGGACCTCAGACCCTGCTATGACCGCTATTCGACTCATTGTCCTTGTGAACAAGTAGAACTGGTAATGTACTAGGTTATCTTCCGGCCTCTGTGCAGACCACTAAGCCTTCACATGTCACTGTGCACTACGCCTCAAGTGCTGCCTCCCTCGACTCACAAGCAGGAGCTATTTGATCTCCACACAGGAATAATGGCATGCTGAAGTTGGCTTGGGATAAGCTATCCTGCCGACAGCTTCGTGGCTGACCTCGACCTCAAGTATCTGACCGCACTAGAAGCAAGGACGTTCGACGATTCCGAAGAAGCAGGACCTGCAGGCAACCAGCAGTGTGTTTGGATGCTGGTCAATATCGCAAGCAATGGAAAGTGTATCTCGGCATTCCTGACGAATGGGTTCTTGAAGAAGATAAATTATCGTAGCGAGAGCAAACTTAAAGTGAGGAAAATATTACTGCTTTGTTCAATAATTCTCTAACTCGCGTGATTAACAGCGTAGCCCAACGTAGCCCTCTATCTAGCGATAACCCATGCTAAATTTTCGGAGTCGAGCCTGCACAGTCCAGACGAGTTATCTGATATTGTAGCTCCTTTGCCGGCCAAAGAATGTGCGCGTGTTAATGGATAAAATATCAAAGGAATGGTGATGAACCTGTGCACCTTCGAATGTAAGAAAGCTTGCACGTTGGCAGTGGCCGTGGCAAGCTTAATTGTCAGTGCCGCGTCAAAAGCGTCAGTTGGTATGTGTAAACTGAGCCAAACAATCCTCCTGATTCATGATAAGCCGCTTAAGCCTCTTCCAAGTATCACACCGAACACGAAGATGTTTTCATAGCTTTCCTACCACATGTCATTACCAACGCGCAAGCGAAAAGCTGTTTGCAGATGCAGAACGGGAGGAAGCAGAAGAAGCTCAAAGCCCTAAACCAAGCATTTCCAACATTCCTCAACTACAGAGCCAAGATGAAAACTGGACAGGCGAAGAATCCATACAGGATGCCGTGCTGCGCATGCTCGTCGACAAGTACAAGCCTATGCGCTTAGGGCCTATCAGGACAGCTGACATGAAGCTGAGGGAGGCGCCACCGAAGGTGCATACAGATGCATATGTCGTCGAACGACCTGCCCAAGGGTGGCAAGAGCTTGCAAACAAACCTTTGCTACCTTCTATAGAAGGTCACAAGCCTTGGCTCACTACTTACGAGGCCCCTTCTCATGCGTCTGCATCCATTAAGCTCGGCAACTTCACACCTGCATCCGCACGGACGCCTGGTGTCCATGCTGTGACGGACGAACGCACTAGGAAGACGGAGAGGGAGCTAGCCAGACGAAAAGAGCAAGCAGGACGACTGTCGAGAGCTAGAGAGTCAACATTGGATTATCGCTTGGGCCTGAAGAACAGCGAGGGGCAACACACTGCTCGTCGGAACCCTGTGAGTATGAGGGGGTGGCAGGCCTTGATAGAAGACAAGATACAGGTTGGCTTCATCATTCACTCGGAATTATATTGTTCTTACATTTAAAGATAGAAAGCTCGAGCTGCCGGACATTTCGACAAAATCAAAGGGCGAGGTCAGCCTATGGTTAGATTGAGCGACGAGCACAACCCTTTCATTGCAAGAGAAGAGTTCCTCATGAACCGGATTGTCCAAAGGAATGGGGCAGCTCCACCATGGGTTGAAGTTCAAATCGGTGGGTGACTTATACCATGTCGGTGAGATCTTCGAGTTAATCACCATATTATAAAATTACAGAGCTCGAGACTGCAGTGAACTCGTTTCGCGATGTCCTGCGGCAGTCGTGGACAAGACGTGCAATTCGGACTTTAACAATGTTACAACCAGCGACTATGTTGCCTTCATTATCGCTGGGCAGTGTAACATCATTGCGCGACCGCGAGTGGGAAGAACGAGAGTGCTCTTACCACGATACAGCCATCGCCGAATTGAATTCTTTGGTGCGTAAATACAATGCCCTTGCGCCATATTCTGTGCGCCGCCCGTATTATTCTCGAGAGGCCGAATTAGCCAAGGCGTATCAGGACTGCGGGGATGGCATTCTGCGTGAGATATCAGAGAGAAGAGAGATACATGGCAGGTCTGGTGCCTCACCACCATTTGAAGTCGAGTCTTCTGTGGACGTCGATGCTTCGAGTTCCACGACCAATCCTTTGAGGTTTGGAGATATCATCCGTCGGTGGTTTATGAAGCTGCGAGAGAGATTCTTCAATGTATCCTGAACGACACACTCGCACGGCTGATCATACATACATACATTGTGCCCGGATGAAGCTGAAGGGCTGAAGGCACGCCCCATATCTATTCTAGACGCCTCAATTGTAGCTAACAATCTATACATGCATTTGTATCATTGTCTTTGTGTTGTTACCGGAGATCCAGGAATCCAGGAGTGCGCCGGCTGCCTTCCATAGCCGATTTTTGTCCATTGTGTTGGATCTGATACCGCGGAGGCATTCATGTCCTAGTCAGCATCAGTGTTGTTCCTCAGCGCTCGGCGTCCACAAAGTACTGCAGTCGTTACGACGATTAATACATACAAAAACGACGACAATATTCTGAGCACGATTGAATAAGTCGAATTCACGCAATTTACGTGAATTCGGCATCCCGGACATAACTCGGCCGCAAGGGACAAGAAGAAACGAGGCGTTTACCCACTTTTGCAAATTCCCTGGCCTGCCAGGCGCTGCCTCGTGTCTGCCTCGCCTTTTCCGGAGGTCATTGACCGGACATCTAATCTATAAAAACCCACCCTTTTGTTTATTTAATTCTCCCATCCTCAAGCCTTGTATTCTTACAACCCCACCTTTTCTCCTACCTATCCCGCCCACCGTCGCCGACGCCCATCATGGCCATCTACGAGGAATACGCATCGCTCCCTGTTGCCAGCGATATTACTGTGAATTTTTCGCTTTTTCCCAGTGCCGAATAAGCTCTAAAATGATACTTTTTTGTAGCCTGGTGATATCGTCGCTGTTAACCACGACCGGTACGGTCGTCAAGAGGGCCTCGTTGTTGGCTCTCGTGTCGACTTCGCTGTAAGCCCCGACTTCCACAATAAAAAAGCATAAAGACTCATCCCACCTCACAGGGCCGACAAATCCTCGAAGTCCAACTCGAAGCCTCGAACGAAATCTACCAAGCATGGTACAGCTGGCACATTTCTCACCCCGAATCCAATATCTAACGCAACCCAAAACCACAGGTACCCCACTGTCACCCGCGTCAGGCGAACAGTCTCCTACACCCGACCTGTCGTCGCAAAACAGCGCACCGTTGAGCGCCGAATCTATTGGTGATCGTATTTCACCCGGCCTTATTTCTCTCCTTGGTTTGGGCTGTCGAATTTTGTATTATCTAAGTATAAGTATATACTCTGCGGCCAAGTCGACGTGGTCATGGTGCTCTTGCTTCTTGCTTTCGGTCATGGGGGCGATGTTCAATACGGTACATAGCTCGCGGTGGCTACTGGTGGACGCGATGCCGGGCATGGCGGAGGTTGCTTGTTTCATTCAACTGATGAATCTACGATGATTACTAGAGGTCTTTTGACGGGACACACGTACTTTGATGATCGTGACAAAATGACATGACCTTGACATGTACGCTGTCACATCTTGCGTGAGATTTACTAAACATTGCTTGACGTGGCGGGTTCCGGTTACAATACTTGTTGTGTATCGTGCAGGGACAGATAAGCGCCGTTACATAAACGCCGTAGATGACTTCAGTTCAATCGGTATTCAATGAGTACCAACATGCATGGTAGAGACCTCAACATGTGGCAGGCTAGGTAGGCTATGCTAAAGATACAAGAGCATAATAAAGTTATATGATAATATGAGCGCTACAGAAAGGCAGTCATGCTTTCTGGTCGACAACAGGTGAGGGGTGTGTAGGCTGAGGGGATTTGGGATGGCGAGATCCTGGTGGACGAGCGGTAAGGGATGAAGACGAAGACGATGCACGTTGATGTATATGCATAATATCTGGTGCTGATGCCCAGAGAGAAGACGAATTGGTAGATGTGCTTGACATAGAACCCTGCGACAAATTTGCTTTCAAAGGAACAGCGCTTCCGTTCATTAGAGACGGAGTCGATGCAGATAGAGACTCTCGGTCCCGTCGCGCAGCTGAAATACTTCTTCTCCCAGCTACTACGCTCCTCACAACTCTCGGTCCCATCACACCCCTCCCTCTATTCTCCACATCTACCAGCGAGCTTGCAACTGATGTCGTTGACCCGTTCACGCGCGGCTTGAGTGTCTCCTCTGAGCTTCGTGGTGAGTTGTGATGTGGGTAAATGCCAGGGCGCGACTGTACCACGCGCTCGTAGTAGAGCATAAACGCCCCAGAACCCTCTTGCACGACTGTCTCTATTCCGCATTCCTTCACTGAATCGTCGCTGATCCGTAGCCATCCCCGCCCAGGGCGATACATGGAGTCCACAGCTTCGTCGTCGTCGCGCACGGGCCCATAGCGCTGGCACCTTTCGCAGTCGCAGCCAAGTGGATCGGCGAGTCTTGGTGGTGCGAAGCGCCGTGAGCCGTAGGATACAGGCCGGGGTTTGCGCCGATAGCAAACGTAGTGACCGAACGAATGCTGACCATAGTGACACACAACAGCAGAAAGACGGTATATGATTCTTTGCACGGCATATGTTGCCGGTGTAGGAGTTGTGGAACGAGGGAGTAGGGGTGGTTGTGACGAGATGGGAACAGAAGGTTTGGTGGAGAGGTTGCCAGACGTTGTGAATGGTGTGAGATCTAGAAACTCGGGAAACAGAATGCGAACTGTGTTCTTAGCAGCATAGTGGCCGTAGCTGAGGGATCGATTGAGATGCAGTGCGAGAACTTGAGGTGGCTGTAAAACGTCTTAGATACTCAGGGGGCACAAACGAAACTCAGACTTACTCTTGCAATCATAGCTTGCTTTGTCGATGCTCTGCTAAACACTTTCTCCAGCTTGACGCCCTTGACTTCCTCTTCTAGTCGACCATGATCTAAGGCAGACTGCACTTTGAGTTCTAGTTTTCTAGCATCCTTCATTCGTTTCCTCTTTGATACAGAAGCAGTAGGGTCTGCAATCACTGCTGCTGCCAACCGGTCTGCCTCTTGCCTAAGCCTCTGGTGCGTGGCCTTCATCGAACATTTGCGACATATGCAGTCGTTCAACATCTCAAGCTTAGTGTATTCCGCAAGGCAGTCTTCCAAATGACAGCTGGCCTGTGTGCGAGTTAAAGTATATCGATGACCAAATCAATCAACACATACGGCATATCGAGGCAAGGCAAGTTGCCAGCTATCGAAAGCAAAATGCATGACTGCTTCTGTGTAGCCGCACTCAACGCAGCTGCGTCTGTTCGCTGTGAGCCCGTCGAACACGCTCTTCCCAATCTCCTTGTTGATGTCATTACGGACTTGAGAGAGTCCACCTAGACCACGGTCCCGTTGGCCTTCATTATCAACTGCAGCCACTTCCTTCTTGATGCATTCGGAAACGAGTTGGAATAATTCCTGTGCGTCTTGATGTTCCCGAGAGGAAAAGAGGGAGTTGTGTTTGCTTCTGGAGTGATTGACAAGGGTGGTGATCATGTCGAGTGGACGAATTGAATGATAAGCAGAGCGAGGTGTATTAAGGTCTGTAGATGTGTCTGTCAAATGCGTAGCTGTGGTGCTGTATGATGGCACGCACCTTGGAGCAAAGCCAAGAGGGCGTCCACGACAGGTGATGGCACATCAAGTTGAATGGCCTTGGCTTGCGTGTACGAGAGATAAGGATGTAAATAGGACAAGGATGCCATAGCCTGATTGCGGTAGTGTAAATTGGAGAATTACGATTCGGATTGAGCACCTTACTTGCATAGTTGAGTTCATGAAGCAGTACGTTCCGGATATATTGACAAGACCGGGGTAATAGCCATCATGAACATCGTTTTTGTGCTCTGAAACTGATGTGTTGCAACAATTAGATTATCACATGAGAACAAGTACATACGTGGTCTTGCATGTCCATTAAGCTCGATCTGTTCACTACGAGTGCGTAACACTTTCTTCTTGAGTTTTTTAGTTTCTTGTTGGGTACCGGAGGATGATGACCAGTTCCATGGCAAGCTGAATGAAAAGCTCTCAAACACCATAGCTAACCGCCAGGTGACTGGTGAAGATGATCCAAGGCTGAATACCGTCTGGACGAAGAGCAGGACAATAAGCGGGAATAAAACGAAAATGGCAAGGGGGGTTATTTGAAGAAATAAAGGGTCTTTGAGTAAGGCGAGAGACCAAGAACGAAATTCGTCTTGAAAGTTCATGGGGGGTTCAACTTTACGCTGCTCTCCAAGACATGAGCAGCAATAGCGACGCAGCAGCTCGGGGAACACGAACCTTTATGTTGTTGACATGCTCGTTCATTCGTATATAATATGGCCACGCAATTCAATGAAACACATGGCTACCTGGCGCAATGGTAGCGCGTTTGGCTTCGATTGCCAGCGGCACCAAAAGGTTGCAGGTTCGAGTCCTGCGGTGGTCATCTTTTTTTGCTGTTAATAAAATCACAAATTATTTTACATCTTCTTCTTTTTACTCCTCGTAACACTCATGCCTATGAAACTCACAAGGCCACTTCCCTATCGCTATACCCTCTCCAGATATCACTCGCCTCCCCTTTTGCTCCTCGTCATCTAAAATAACTACATACTGCTCATCTGTTCTTTCATCCACGTAATGCCACTTCCCACATACGCCATCGCCAAACGGGTGTGGGAACAGATCATCATCCTCGGGCTCCGATGAATCCGCCAGGAATGGGTGGTATAGTGCTCCCCGCGGAGTAATGCGTCGCGTTGACTCGGGATGCATTACCTCCGCTAGAAGAGAAAGTGCAGCTTCGACCTCAATTCGGTGCGATTCAGTTGTTGGGGGTGCTGGTATATTGGCACGCGTGGGGGTAGTGGAGCGTGACCGAGAAAAGCTATATGATGAAGAAGATGACGGCGGATAGTCGAGTCCTCCAGGGGAATGCGTCTCGTGGTCATTGTATGGATAATATCGAGGGTCTGGCGTACGAGGTTTGAATATGTTAGGATTTTGTTTTTCAACGAACTCGCGCCAACTTATGCCCTCTTGCGATATTGAAGGCACATTTGTCGCAAATGTCCGACCTGTATAGTACTCATGAGCTGAAAAGTTTAAATTAAATACGATAGTTACTATGCAGGATCGCAGTTTTCTCCATCTTCTGTCGTCCGATAATGGTAGCTATTTCCATGAGGGCTTCTATATCATCACTGGACTGTAGAAGAGGGAATTTTCCCGCCAGGAAGAAGAGAAGGATCATGCCAGCAGACCAAACATCAATGGCTAGGCACAGCGCGTTCAGCCAGCGCGTCGGATTAAAAATGACATGCCATACCACCGGTTTGCTGGCTGCACTTTAGAAGGACTTCGGGGGCCCGGAAGCCTCTCGTGCCTGCTCTGTTTGCTTTTGAGGGAGCTCTAGTTCACAGGGTCAGTAAGCGAATTACTTGGAGACGAAGGTTCACCTCGTATCCTTGTCAGGATAGCCAACACGATCGCTTGACCATGAACTTTTCTGTCGGGCTTCCCTCTGCATCTTCTTCAGGAGGTCGACATCATAGTCATTCCGACCTCTTATTTTGCCATGAGGATGCTCCCGTGTGGCAGAGGTATGCAAGCATGCTCCGTGCACCGGCGTGGATCCATCCATTCTCTGAAAACAGTGTCATAACGGATACTTGAAGCACATGTCTCACTGCTCACACTTGCGAGGCCAAAGTCGCACAAGGCACCTATGCCTGTTCGAGGATCATACAGAAAGTTGGCTGGTTTAACGTCCCGATGTATGATACCTCTGGCATGAATATCACGTAACGCACGGAACATACATCGAAAGTATGCTTTGATACCAGCCATAGACAAGTCTTTGTAGAATTCCTGACCTAACGTTAAAGCGTCTTTCATATGTAAACCGGTGCACCCACTCGAAAATCATCGTTGCGGGTATATGGCATGACAGCGACCACCTGATCTTGGTGTCGGAACGCGGTGATAAGCTGAGAAGTATGACGGCATCCCCTGCAATCTTCCATGATCGAGATCTCGTTTCGTATTCGCTCTGGATTGCTTGTGACATATATTCGTTTTATGGCGACAAAGACTTTGGTACCGGGGGAATAAGGGGCTGATTGGTAATGTGCAGAGGATGTGGGAGGATGGTAGCCATGCCACGCAGTGTTGTCCCATTTATAATGGTAGGCCAAATCTATGGCCTTGTATACGGAGGAGAATGTCCCTGTGCCAAGGCGGTCGACGATGGTATAATCTTCTGATAACGACGGAACAGCATTGTTGAGATTGGCAATTTCTAGTTGGATTTCTTGTTGTTCTTCTGGTGGTTTGAGGTACAACGTCTTCTCTTCGTCCGTTTCACCATCCGCGTCGGCGTCTTCATCAGGGTCTTCTTCGTCGTCGTCGAGATTGCCCATATCATGCGGTGCTTCAAAGTTCATATCGTCAGCGCTTTCCATGCTCTCGTCGAGATCTACGACCGGCAGCTCGTCTGGGTGACTTGGCCGCCTTCGCTTGATAGTGGAGGGCACACCGCCTTGTTTTGAATAAAGGTGTGCAAGATGATTGTGATACTCGACCATATCTGGGCTTTCGAGGCCATTGTGACCGTCCTCGGAGGTGGGGCTGAAAGCACCGTTTGTATTCCGTGCTGAGACATATTCCTCGTGGTAAGCTTTGTTACGAATATCAGAAGAACCGACTTCAAGAGGATTAGATGAATGCTGAGAGAGTAGTATGGTAGCCATGGCGCGTCTAGCCGATGTGAGTAATGGCCAGCTTGTTTCAGGTGTCGTGGTAAGTAGAAAGCATCTTTAAAACGCTAGCCTCGTCGCGACAAACGCGCTAGGGTCACGTGAGCTAGATAAGCACAAGATAAACAATAAAAAAATGACCACCGCAGGACTCGAACCTGCAACCTTTTGGTGCCGCTGGCAATCGAAGCCAAACGCGCTACCATTGCGCCAGGTAGCCATGACGTATCTCTATCCTGTCTCATTTTCATGTAGAAGGACTTACTTACCAAATTAACTACTGTTGGAGTTAGGCTTGCGCCGACAACATCTCTGTCATGGCGCTCAATTGGACGATGCTGGATGCGAGACACCAGCCTATACCCTTACATGATGAGTCCACCATCATGTCCATAGATCGTGATTCGCAAGTGGAGTTCTCCATAACCATACCTGACGCGCCACCTTCGGGCACTGCTGCCACCGGGGGCAACGGTGGGGTGAAGAAGATGAAGGAGAGAGGGAAACTCTGGCTGACAAACAAACGAGTATGTTCATCTTTCCCTTCAAACATCAATCAATCTGATTTCGATGGCACTAGCTGATCTTCACAACACCCAAAGGGGGAAAGCCCAAGCCGTCATTCGAATCGCTGTCGATACCACTAGACGCGATCTTATCTAGCAAATTCGAACAGCCTTACTTCGGCGCTAACTTTGTGGTGCTTGATGTCAAGCCCTCAGTGGGTGGTGGGCTTACAGACGGTACGAGCGTCGAGATCCGGTTATATGACAGGGGGTTATTTGAGTTCGTGAGCGTCTTGGAGAAGACACGCGAAAGAGTCGTCTATATGAAGAGGCAGGCGGCCATGGAGGACGATGAGAACTTACGTGAGTACTCATTTCAGACAGTATCGATATCTCTAATGTGCTTGTGCTGATAGCTGCGTATACGACATCTGGTTCCGCACCGGGAGCTTCAAATTCATATGCGGATACCCCACCTGGATATGTTGCTTGAAATAATTTTCTCCGCCCAGCATTATACTGTGTACCAACAACATCGGACTTCGTAAGGAATGTAACACGTGTACACTTTTTCTATCCAACTTTCAGCCTTGTTCATGCATGCTAGGTGTTATAATATTAATGTGTTGTTTGCAATATTCGCTGACAGTAAACATCCAAAAACTTCCAGTGATATATAATCTACGCTGAGGTTCGCGGCTTTTTGTTGTTTTCGGGTAATTTTGTAGTCACAGGTAATTATTCCGCTGGCTGTCATTCTAGGTGGCGAGAACACTGTCACGACTCGCGATAGCCACGAGAACACTTAGGTGTCTACGCTGCAACGAGCAACCAGTCTCAGATTGGCTGTCCTGTGGGATCATGATGATTGATGTTTGGGAGGTCCATCATCTCACCGGTGACCTTCGCAGAATACGGCATGACCTTTAGCGTGTTGAGCGTGAACATAAATCCTGGTAACTCGAGTTCTTCGACTCATTGTGAAAATTATTTTGACGAGGATTCTCGACCTTTTTTGCTAGTAATTCTTTCGGGTCGGGGGCCCTACTGGCGGATGTCTCGTCATCTGCTGTAATATAATGAGGTGTGTAATGAACTCTATATATATGCCTTGAAGGCGGTTGTGATATTCCCACTAGCGCGGAGAACTGCGGGGCACTACCAGTACGACGATTCATATACCAAAATCAAACCACGACCTATAGTTCATTCGTTATCGTTCAAGTGATCAGACGAGTCCAAAGTCTCAATGCCAGTCTACGAATACACTGGATGAACGCGCAGGCGGGATGTGTCTGTCGGCCGATGTACGACAGTTCAAGTGGGTGTCAGAATATAGATTGTACCTGAAGTGATGACCCATGAGACCAGACATCATTATCATCGAATCACATCGGGACGATGGAAGGCATAGGTTTAAACTGGACAGCCTCATCGACTGTGGCGATGAAAAGCAGACGTGAATAGGTCATTTAATATGGCTTGCGCAAGTGGACCAAGTTAACACACATCATGAATATCACCAATCCCAGCACTCCAACTTCCCTAGTACAAAACGTACTCCCTCCATTTAATGCATACACCATGATTGGGCCAGTGGTGCTGGGTGCGCTCGTCAATGCCTGCCTCTTCGGCGGTCTCGTCATTCAGACTTATGTCTATTACACAAATTTCCCCAACGATTATCGAGTGGTGAAGCTCACGGTAGGTGAACCCAATGTATGAGCTCAGAATGGCAGTCGCTAACTGGACGTCATGATTCCAGGTAGCAGCCATCCTGTAAGTGCCTTATGTCGCTTTTCTCCCTGCTTTACCCAAGCCAATCAAATTGTACAGCGCATCACAGATTGCACATGTGATCTGTGTATCAGCGACGCTGTGGAAAGTTGCTGTCAGTGGCTACGGCAACCCTCTCACGCTGTTGATCTTCCCGCTTGGAGCAGACGCGGCTATCCTCTTCACTGCGATTACAGGGGCACTAGTAGAAGTAAGATCTTTCATCGAATCGATGGGTATTCTGAATAGCATGCATCCAGTCATCCTTTGCGTTTCGGCTGTGGAAGCTTTCGAAATCACTTGCTCCGCCCCTTATCTCGCTGGCACTGTGTTTATTGGCTCAATCTATCGCGCTCACGATGACAGTGAAAGCTTTCGCCATGACGGACCTTCTGACATTCGAGACTGATGAAAACAGACTGATTACGCTTTCACTCACCTCTCGTTTGGTTTGTGAGTTGACACTTACCCTGTCCATGGTGTGGTACCTGAGGAAGCAACGGTCGTCGACATTTGCGAGGTACGTTAAATTACTTCCAATCCGTTCCGTCGTAATGATTTACAGTACAACGACCATAATTGACCGTTTGGTTCTGTGGACTCTCGGTGAGCACAAGCACTTTCTTGTAGATATGACTCACCCTTTCCAATCACCACGCAGAAACTGGCCTTATAACTAGGTATGTGACAAGACCTTCCTGGCGCAATGTTGCGGCTAATGTTGTGTTCAGCCTGGTCGTGGTCTTTATCATGAGCTTCGTGAGAGATCCTTTTCCGGATACAAAGTACTGGGCTGATTGTGAAAGAGTAGTTCCTAGCAATGAAGCAGAATTGTGAGTGAACCGGGATATCTCTACCTCGTCGCAAAATGAACCTTTTGCAGACATATGGGTTGGATTATATGCAAACCTTGCAACTGGTCTGTGTCCGCGAAATGCACGTATTTGAAACACTTATTTAGTCTTTACGTCTCAGTGAATGCGAACTCGTTACTTGCATCGTGAGCTTTCTTGACTATTTTGGTGACGCGCTCACGCGGTTGTAGACTAAACGGCAGATTAATCCTCCGCGTACCGAACCAAAGCTTGAACATGAATCCTCCGAGTAGTTCAGCTGGTGGGCGTAGCCGTGAAACCCAGGTTCGTAGAAGTACTGTCGTCTTGCGATGTGGTTTGCTGAAGTCGTGTGAAGTCTCTTGTGATCAACGTCACGCGAACAGTCGGAACTGTTCCAGATGCTTTCAAGTACGACGAGGGTGAAGTTTAGGACCGAGGAACCGGATAGTGACGATAACCATACGTTATATGATAGTATAAATTAGCTACTTGTTGCCGATTTGGATGCATGTACGGGAACACCGAGAAATGTAGACAAAGAGCCAGATGATAATTGTCTGTTTCAAGGAGGCATCCACGAGGCGCTATTCTCCAGAGGCTGTGAACATGTATCGGTGGCTGATCGGTCTCAAGCCTTAGCCGTTGCGTCGGTTATTCAAGATATACCCGCTGGCTTAAGGAACTAGACAAGCTACTACCTCAGGCTCGTCTGTTAGTCTTAATATAAACATGAGCGCACAGACGGAATTACTGACAGCGTACAACGAGCCCAGTGAGCACTGAAAAAGCAACTCAAATGATGGCCATCGATCGTCAGATAAGATTATGATTCTAGATCATAACGAAGGCAATCCATACTAACGTGACAGACCATTTAACTTCCGTTGTACTCGGCGGCGTAAGCTCAAACTAGCCTGCATTGCATCAACTCTTTGCGCCAAGCGGAAGAAATGAAAAGGAGATTTAAAACAGGTCGGGAAAGCGGACAGGACGCTACCTCGCATCATGGATCCTACGAATTCCAGCACCTCCTTGGCTTTTGAAGTCGCAGTATTCAATCCATCCATCATCGTCGGACCTGTGGTGTTGGGTGCACTCGTTGATACCTGCCTCTTCGGCTGTCTCGTCATCCAGACGTATGTGTATTATGCGAATTTTGCCAACGACCATCGAGCGATTAGGTTCACGGTCAGTGAAGCCGATACGAGCCACGAATCACTGACTTGATGTGATCTTTCCAGGTAGCAGCAGTCTTGTAAGTGGCCTACACATCGTTGCTCCCTGTCCAGACCAGCCAAATTGTATAGCGCAACACAAATTGCACATGTAATGTGTGTGTCGGCAACACTGTGGAACACTGCTGTCAGCGCATACGACGACCCTTCGAAACTTCAGATGCTCCCATTGGCATCCGCCGCGACTATTCTCTTCACTGGAATTACAGGGGCACTCGTTGAAGTAGGATTCCTTGTCGAATTTGATGGTGATACTCACCTGCACGTAGTCGTACTTTGCTTTTCGACTGTGGAATGTTTCGAAAAAACTCCTTCTTCCCATTCTCTCGATGGTACTCTGCGTAATAGCTCAGGTTGTCTCACTCGTGATCACAGTGCAAGCTTTCAAAACGACAAGCGTTGCGGAATTCGAAGTTGATCAAAACACGCCGATCACGCTTGCACTCACTTCGCGTGTGCTCTGTGATCTGATACTTACCCTGTCCACGGCGTGGTACTTGAAGAACCAGCGGTCGGGATATTTAAGGCAAGCCACAACACTTCTAGTTTGTGCTGCTGCGATGATTTTGCAGGACGACGAACATGATCGACCGTTTAGTTCTGTGGACTATTGGTGAGCACTGTGCTCACTTTCCATATGACTCACGTCCAATCAACCACTCCTTAGAAACCGGTCTGATAACCAGGTATGATGAAAGACGACGATCCTGGCGTGTTTAGACTAAAGTTATGCTGAGCCTGGTCGCAGTAGTTGTCATAAGCTTCGTAAGAGACCCTTTCTCGGGCACGCAGTACCAAACTGACTGACTGTAAAAAATGCGCAGTTCCTAGCCATGAAGGAGAATTGTGAGTGAACCGGGATCTCTATCCTTCGCCACCAACTGAACTTTTTGTAGACATATGGGTTGGATTATATACAATCCTTGCGAGCGGTCTGTGTCAGCACAATGCATATATTCGGAACGCTCACTTAGATCTTACCTCGCAGTAAACGGAAATTCGTTGCTAGCCTTGTGAGTCAGTCTCATTCATTTGGCGACACGAGTTCAGGCTTTTGCAGGCTGAACGGTAGATTAATCTTTCGAAGCGCGACAAACGAAAACTTACACATGAGCACTCTGAGTGGTTCAGGTGGTGGGCGTAACAAACAAAATGTTTGTAAATGTATCATCTTGCACTCCAGTGTACTGAAGTCATGCGAAGCCTTTTGTGATCAATGCCACCCAGACAGTCAGAGGTCCTCCCGAGGTTTTCAAATGCGACAAGTGGGAAGTTTAGGTGTCCATGAAACTGCCGGATACAATGATGGCGAGTCATGCGTCGCATGATGAAATTACTTCTCTGGTGAAGACCGAAACCCTTCTGCCGGTGAAAGCACAAGGCTTTTAGTACTTACTCAAGTCTCCAGGCCAAAAAGCTTACCCGTAATTGATGGTCGATAAAGCGTGCGCTGTACCCTGTATTATCAAACATCGTGTTATGGCCGAAAATTTGTGAGAACATTGGTGAACGTTAAGAACTGAGTACTGATCGGCTGACCCGTGACGACCGTAGTCCTTCCGGTACCCGCGAATGTCACTGAAGTCACAGTATGTTACATAGGCCGGTCACAAAGTCCTCAGCTGTCCGAGTCCGACTATAAGTACAGATGATGACGGTCCTAGCCGTGAGTCACTCCCCTACTCGCCGCTACTAGGATCAGCTATATAGTCGTTCCTACGACCAGATTTCTGCTCAGGTCACGTACTTGCAGTTCCGCAAAAGTCCATTCGATTCTCAGAACATTCAACCCAGTCAAAATGTTCGTGGAAATCGCAAAATTTGTCACGAAAAACCTCTTCAATGTCGAGGGTTGGGTCTGCGTCGTGTCAGGCGGTGGAACCGGCCTCATGATTGCACAAGCCTTTGCTAATAACGGGGCTAAAGTCTACATCACGTCGTGCCGCCAGGCGTCCTTGAAACACATCACAAAACAATGGGGTTCTTCTCTAGCTCATCCTAAGGGGAATTTTATTCCAGTCACTTGTTTCGTTACGTCGAAAGACTCGATCAAACGTTGAATTGGTCCAGGAGATCGGCAAGCAGGAAGATCACATTGACCTACTGGTGAACAACGCTGGCATCAGTGAAGGTAAGAGTGATGTCAAGAAGGGTCATCAGAGTGCCAAGGCTCTCTTGATGCCAACTGGGAGAACGTTTACAGGACCAACATCGGCTGTTTCTTCACGATTATAGCGTTTTTTCCCCTTCTCAACGCGACTTCTTTTGGCAAGTCACAAACACACTGGCTATATCATTAATATTACCTCTGTTTTTGGTATTACTCTACGGTACCACGCAGCACCCTACGAGCACAATGTCTCAAAGGCGGTCGCTATTCGCTTAAGTACTTTACTTGCGCAATAATTCAGGATGATAGCCGGCCAGGTCGGTGATTAATATCGTACCCGTTGAGTCTGAGATGACCAGTTTGGGTGAGGTTTTGTTAAACTAAGCCAACGATTGGTGATCTTATCTGATGAACTCACAGATTCCGGTAGGTGGGGACTTATGGCGAGAAGAAAGGAATACACAGATCGTCCTGGGCGTGGCGAAGATATTACACAAGCTGGCCTGCAACCAGTATGCATATGGACAGGTGCGCCATTACCCAGTTTGTTATATTCACTCAATACTTGTCTGCAAAACCCTTGCCATTGATGGCAGGTATCTCCTCGAACATCCTTGTTTTACACACTCTAGTGCCAAGTTTGCGTCTGCATTCTCCGAGCTTAGACTCGTGACCAGTCTGTCTAATGAGGCAAGCCGTCGATTAGACAGACTGGTAAATCTGGGTTTGAATTTGGATAGTGCGCGGGTTCGTCAGGTAACGTGATCTGTAGCCAATGGGAAAACTGAAAATTTTGACGTGAATACTAAAATTATTGTTTGAAATTTTGAAATTTGACGCGACACGTCGCGTCAAATGCATGTATCTGCGCTACAACTTCAATGGATGTGAATGCTGTCATTCAAGCAGTGCGACAAGCATCATTAGATGGTCTAGATTCCTTTGCTCGCTCGCTGATAGGAGAACGGCTTCCTACCGACTACATTCAATCACTCAGTAACACAGACAGAACAGATGCACTTCGTGCTTGCTTGCTTGTGTACATCCTTACAGCAACTTTGATCGTGCCACGAGAGTTTCAACTGGAGGCTGCTCTTGCAACACTCAACGGCCGCGACAGTGTAATAACAGCAGGTACAGGCTGTGGGAAGACACTGTGTCTCATCCTGCCAATTATCCTCCGTCCTGACACCATCAGTATGACGATTTCGCCACTGAAACGCCTCCAGATTACCCAGGTCAGACCAAAATTTGGCTTTTTAGGTACTGAGTGCGACAAAGAGCTCACCAGGTGAAAGAGTGTCTGAAATATGGCATATCTACAATATCTATCAACGAGGACACTCCAAATGATGCATCACTATGGCAGGTACACCCAACATGAAAAGCTGTTGATTTCGCTGTGTAAGGGGATACTTTAACTCATGTTTTCAATCAACAGTCAATTCGTACTGGGAAGTTCAACCATTTAATTGTTTCGCCAGTACATGAACTTAGCTACTGTCCCAAAAAGAACTTATCTGTCACGTTACCTGACGAACCCGCGCACTATCCAAATTCAAACCCAGATTTACCAGTCTGTCTAATCGACGGCTTGCCTCATTAGACAGACTGGTCACGAGTCTACTCCGAGCTTCGCATGCATCATTATTCTCAAGCGTCCTTATATCGAATGCCAAATTGTAGCCCATTAATATTGTATGCAAAGAACTTCAACCACGCAATATTCCACTTGATATAATATTGTAACGAGAAGGGATAATCAAGGCGGTGTAGCAATTAAGTCAAGCACTGCATGTATGTCTTATTGAATAGATAATCTACACTTTCCCCAATATAAAAATGTCGATTAGGCTTATCGGTACTATCAACCTAAATATCCCTCCTCTGATCTTCTCATGGTCTGGGCATGATGGAATCCTCTCGGACGTTGCCATAGTACATTGCTCGCGGCCCCGAGTGGGTATTCTCCAATGCGGCGCCGGCAGTAGCCCACGATGTTAGGTTCAAGTTTGGGATGAGCGACGATAACGTTGGAGTGGCTACTCTGCGAGGATGAGGGCGTGGCATGTCAAGGCCTTCCCGTGGACCGGCCTCATCTGGCATGCAACTAGGTGGTGACGATGACACTGAGCCCGACACCGTTTGGCTCGTAACGAAGCTGAAGTTTCTCATCGTCCTGCTAAGGGTTTGCAATACTGACCCGCCACCGGCGCTGGGTTCAGTAGGTGTACGTTGTTCCTGGTTCATGTACGTTGAATGGATGGATGAGTCTGAAAGACCCCGTCTACGCAGGGTACGCTCGAAAAGGGGGCCAGGGATATCATCCGCTTCGCCGTGCTCTGGACCAGTGTCAGCGCCAATCTCGCGTGACAAGTGCGAATTGCTCCGCTTGTACGCAAGGGGTCTGTCGATGGTCCTGGTGTCGCTCTGCGAGGGCTCATCTGATTTGAAGAATGTGGAACGGACACGACGAGGAGCACGGGGAAGAACTACCCATGGGTCTGCAGTATCATTTGGGTGTGGTGCACCTGCGAAGATGCCCATGACACTGCGTACATTTGAGGTTGACGTAGGAGGGCGAGGAATGGTATCGACGTGAGACGTCTGGCCAAACGGATGTGCTTCATTTGCAGGATGAGCTGAGAACGTGCTTGTTACAGACTTGCCAATGCCCGCCCCCGAGAATTCGACGTTGACTATGGTAGCAGATGCGGCAAGCGCCGGACCTAGTTTTGGCACCGGACGTGGCTGACGAATGACTCCACGACCTCGACTTACAGGTCTAGGGGGTAATTGAGAAGGGTGAGTACTCGACTCGCTTAACGATGAACCGAAGAGCTTCGAGAATGGGGCCATCCAACTTGAGCCCGGTCCAGACGCCTTCCTCTCTCTCTCCATCGCCTCAGCTTTTGCAGGGTCTAGCGCCATCTCACTGACCCTTTGTGCTATAGAAGGCTCTAGAATGACATCATTCAGTGTGACACGTAGCTGCCCAAGCTCCTCAAATACGTCCTTGAAAAACTTGAACAGCCCACGCAGATCCTTCCGGGTGCACATGAGGGTAACCTTCTCATCCTCCAGCAGCATGCGGTACTGTGCACGTAGCTGGGTGATCTCCGAGAGAATACTGCTTACTGTCGCGCGTGATAGGTGCTTAACGTCCGCGCCACGCAGGTGCTGACGTTTTAAGCGGTTTGTCAGAGTCAGCGCATCTGCCTGCGACATACGCAACAAGAGTGACATCATCCGTTCTAAGAGAGCAGATAGGTGTGAGGGTTGACCATCCTGAAAGGAGGACGTATCCGATCGGCCATCGTGAGGAAAAGATGGCACAAGCCCATTGAGAGACGACATTGGATGCAACCCTAGACAGCGGTCTGTCTGCACCGCCTTGGAATGCTGATTAGGGTTGGGGAGCAACGAGTGGTGATCGAGGTCGAACTCCTCCACATCCGAGCTGAAGTGAGAAGATGGGTATTGTGGGTACAGATTGGTATACTTCGTTTCTGAGGGAACCATTGACTCTGCTGGAGAAAGTGGGCGCTGGCTGGTCTCGGGTGTGAGCGGCTCCTTAAGATCTGTGTAAGCCATCGGCTGTACGTGTGAGGGAGATACACTTGCAAAGACACGACGAACTCTTGGCTCTAAGCTTGATGGACGTTTGACAGAGTTTAGTAGCTGAGTCAATCATAAATGGATAGAAATTTAGATGAGTATATATCATCGTACCGAATCTCGAATATATGATGATGGGCCACTTCCCGTCCGTGAATGTCTCGAAGGCGTATCCACTAATTGTAACACCGTAAGTTGCTGTACACTGGACTTTGATATAAAATGCAGACCTCGTACTGCAGGTGGAAAGTTGACGTTCTCCTCCACTTGTGATCGCAGCACTTGAAGGTCTTCTCTTGACTCGGTAAGAAGCTTATGGAGCTCCTTATTGTCAGCCTTGAGGACCTCATTGTCAGAGACCAGTGACTCCAGCACTTTCATAACTTCCGAGTCCTCGGTTATCACCGAGCTAGTGTGCTAAAGGTGGTCATTGGCGATTTGCTACATACGTTTGCGCATGACCCTTACCGTGTGATGAAGATCTTCTAAACGAGAGCGAACATCTTGTAGTAGGGATTCTGACGATTCCAATCGTTGCAAGCGTCGAAGTTCGAGGTCAGCTTGCAATCGACGAACCTCAGCTTGTAGCTTATCTGTGTCACGGGCATATAATCAGTAATCAATAAAACCTGATTTAGAGACGATGAGAAAACCCTACTAGTACGATCTTTGAGAGCAGCAATACATGCTTCTGCAGTCTTCGCCTTTTGTGCTTCACTGTCTTGCTCTTGCCGAAGGTCATCGTTCTCTTGGAGAGTAGCAGCTAGTCGAGATTCAATCCCTACAGTACGAGCTTGGTATGCAGTCAGGCGCGTCACCGACGTCCGAGCTTCCTCTAGCTCTAGGAGTACGGTCTTATGTGATGCCTCAGCTACTTCACAGTTCAATAACGCTTGCGTTAGCCGCTAGAATTGAAGTGTTAATATGACCCATTGTACAAGGAAAACTCTAACCTTCTCCAGGATAGCGTTATCTTTCACCAGCTCGGCCACAGGCGAATTGACTTCGCCATGCATGTCTTGAAGTGACTCATCCACAAGATCATCTGAGGCACCGCGCGGCATGCGCACATTAGACTGATATAAAATAAGCTACGAAGGCATGTTGCGATCGGAACTTCACGTACCTCGTGTTGACTGACGTATGCCTCATGCCGTTGCAGTAGAGCAGACCCAACCTCTGTGTAGATGCTTGTGGACCACTCGCGTTGGAGACGACAGAAAGACATACCTGCGCTGAGATGCAATCGTTTCTCGAGCTTCTCCTTTGAATCCAGCCAACTCTTCGTCGCTTGACACTCGGTGTTACCACAACAGCAGCATATGTTCTGCTGGGACTCCGAGGACGATACTTGGGAGAGATTCATCAAGGCTAGAGTTAGGTCGTCGATGTTACTATTGGCATGGTAAAGGCTGCTTGCGTTCATTGTATCTGGGGTATCCGGACAGTAGTCCGAGGCAGACCCGTTGTGCATGACGAGACTAGTCAGTTGAGTGTCGTGAAAGAATGGGTGGTCGTGAAGCTCAACGGGAAAGACAAGAATATATAGTATGTAGTAAGTAATAGGGTAAGGTATGCTCAGAATGGCAACAATATTTAGATGTCGTGGGAATGCTGCAAATCTTAAATTGATGTGATCCGCCAGGCTGGAGCCTGGA